AGTGCGCATCCACGATCTCGCTCTGCGAGATTATTACCGTTGGATACCGGCTCAGTAGTCTACAGATTAAGCATTCACACGCGAGACCGATAGATCTTGGCTTAGAATCTCGTGAGGTGTGATCGTGGATGCACACTGCTGAGGAGTCACATACTAGGATGAAACGACCATCCAGTTGTTCTAGGTTTTCCATGGTGGTCTAGCTCCGATTGACTTATGAATTCAACTAATAAACTACTATAATATCCATAAAACGCCTTTCTGATTATAATCATCATATGCTCACTAGTGGACTGTCTTGAAGAGGTATTTCTTGGAGTGCTAGTGAGAAGCAATGACTAGTGGAGTGCAACCCGGTCTGTTGTGAGATACTAACTCACTGAAGACAATGGTGGATGGTGGCGCAATTTTGTGAATTGGTGGAAGTTAGACATTAACACCGATGGATGCTGGCTCAACAGTCTACAGGTTAAGCGTCCGCGCATCAGACCAATAGGTCCTGGATTACAATCTCGCGGGGCAGGATCGTGTATGCACACTGCTGAGGAGTCCCATTCTAAGATGAAACATCCGTCCACTTCTACTAAACATCTCATAATGTTCTAGCTCTAATGGTCTCATGATCTCTCAACTATTAAAATTATTAAAATCTCCATAGAACCCATCTCTAATTCTAGCACTGTTACTTTCGTTCTTTTTTCTTTTCTTTTCTCTTCTCTTCTTTATTTATCCAGGAAAAACATCAACAATCAATACAACAACATATAAATCATACATTAAATTGGAATTTATTAAATCATTTAACATGTTGTACAAGTAGTGGTGAATTCATTGGTATTTTATATCATCCAAGTTATTATTATCAATATATATTAAATCATTATTTAAAAATTAATGAAAATGGTCATATTATCATTGGAAAATATAATGGTAATGGAAATTATAGTCTTATTTAATGACATTCATATTATTCATTAGATTAAAAAAGAAAAAGAAAAATTCGATGTTTTTCTTTTCTTTTTTCTTCTTTTTCCTTTTTCTTTTCTTTTCTTATCTTTTTTCTTTCTTCAAGTTTTCTTTTTTGCAAACGATTAAGTATTAAATTCTATCTATTTCCTCCATTACTTGTTTGTTTGATTTTAAAGAAGAAAAAAAGAAAAAAAACTAATAATGACAACAATCTTATGTCAAAATGAAAAGTATTTTATTGTACATTATGAAATTTAAGAAGATTTATGAAAATAATTAAATTTATATCTGTTTATATCTATTAGATTTATTGAAACATCCAGAGTCATCCAATTGAGATATTCACAAAACAATGATTTGTCTAAACTAACGATTCTTTATTGAATAACATTTATTTTATTTCAACACATAGATACTGGTACAAGGAGGCACTAAATGCATATGCGCTACGCAGATCTTATTTGATATGTGTGACGGATGTGATACTGCCCGGATGTCCAAACCGAAGCAGGTGGTTTTCTGAGGGGGCAACACTCGGAGCCTTCGGCCTAGAGGTCTGATCCACAAGGCAGTGGAGCAACGTAAGGATATGCAGTCCCATGGTAGCCGGTCACCAATGATTGGTTCATACGCCATTTGTTCCTCCAGGATCCTAGAGGCAGCCCATGTGCACCATTGGTTTAGAATCAGGGTTTTCCAAATCCCCTAGGTGGACTCTCCATGTCTACCAACCTGGTTAAAGCGCCGGACGTTCGCTTATCGTCCTATCAATTTCGTAAACAACACCCCCGCCACGAGAAGGCAGTGAGTAGGACTTCCCTGGCAGAGGCTATATACACGTGGCCACGTGAGAGCGTTTCGAGAGGGAGAGCGGAATCTCCCCGATATACAAAAATAAGTTACAAACCTCAACTTGTGAGGTGTCTGTGGCATTTAACATGTTTTTTTGTATAAAATAAAAAAGGCTTCGATAGTGTAGAAGACAGCTGATAGCTGTGTCTAATACTTGATAACAGTTTTTCAACAAGCAAAACACGAACCAAGAACAAACAACATGGATGCCGTTGCAAGGTTAAACAAAAATGCACAAAATTGAAGATAACTACTACAGTGATTGAGATAAAGTAATTATAATGATAAATACAATAAGGGTCATAAGTAAATGTAAATATTTGAGAATGTTCACAACTTGCATTACAACATTGCTGGGAATGCAACTATTTACTGGGTTTAAATAAGTAGTATAAAACAATATACAAAAGAGTGGAAGAGAAGCGAGTAGGAACAATGTAAAACAAACTTAACAATATCATTGAATAAACTTATCTAGACAACTGGTGAAAACCAAAAAGTAGTGAACATCAGTATGAGGTTGTGGAGATTATAAAGTTTTTTTTTGTGATCATGAACCGATTGGCGTTAGATCACCACTGAAAACCTGGAAGCACTGGACGGCCGTTTAGTTCTATAGTGGGGTTTTTCAGCAGTGCGCATCTATGATTTTACACGCGTGATTCTTACCCAGGGCCTCCGGCTTCGCGCGCGAAAGGTTAACCTCTATGCCACTGAGCCGGCATCCAACGGTGTTTATGTCTAGTCTCAACCAATCCACGAAATTGCGCGACCATCTACCATTGTACTGAGGTAGATACCGATATATACCGTAAGTGGCTCTACAATGAATAATTATCAGTTTAGGTTAAATAAAAACACATTCAAGTTGATAAATTCATCAAAAAGTCAAAGTTCACCACAAGTGAGCATAAACAATGACCGAGAGCCCTGGGTTCGAATCCCGCGAGAGGGATCGTGGTTGTGCACTGCTGAGGAGTCCCACAATGGGACAAAACGGCCGTCAAGTGCTTCTAGGTTTCCAATGGTGATCTAAAATCAATCAGTTCATGATCTCAATCAATAAGTACTGAACAGTTGTTTTTACTATTATGGGAATTTACACTAGTGAGTATACATAACCACTCAAGTTGAACCTCTGGAATAATTATTTACTGCCCAATGGTACGCGTTTCTAATTTCAATTATCTTGTAATATTGTGCAGTCGTCTTTCAATGTCATTGGTCAATAGCTGCCTCAAAAATGATATAGTTGGATTCAACTGGTCAGTCAGCTACAACGTAGGACCAGACACATATATGCATCGGTCCACTTTGCCACACCTCATTAGCACAACAACATGAACACCAAATTCATAGGACCAGTTACTTCAGTAGTAGTAATATATAAACGAAGGATTGTGTATAAGGTTATAATAGTACAAGAAGAAAGAATTAGTTAATGGAAAGAAAGATATAAAGCAATTTGAATCTCATAGTTTAAGGGAAGACAGGGAGCGTATACACCTACGCCATTGTGATCAGTTCTGAGCCACGTCACCCGGGGTCTATAACCATTGGCCACGATATTCACGCAGACCCCGACCAGGTAGTCTGCATCTACCAACATGGCTAAGACCAGAAATTTGTGACTTCATCGACTGATGCCACGTTTTATTTGGCCACCCCTCAACTGGTCAAGATTTCTAATTGGAGATACGGGAATTTCTCTTCGAAATTAGTTATCAGTAAAGACAGAATTATCACTAATTTTCAGTTTCCAAAGGCTGAAGAACTTCACAGTTTACATCACTGAATGACCCTAACTAGATAACTACTAAAGAAACAAAAAAGTATTTGATGGCTGCTTAGCACTGGTATAGGTCTCCTCAGCACTTCTCACCTACAAATTGAGAACATCTAATCAAATGAGTTTTTTATGAAAAGATAATTAAGTGTTGCATGAAGTTCTCTTCACAAAATTTAAAATATCAGAGGAAATTTTTATACAATCTCTATATTAACTGTAAATTTACGAAAACAAGTGACGAATACCCCTTCAATAACAGATATCCACAAATCTGTTGATCTAGACGACAGCCTATTCAATTACATTTCAACATTTAATACTGATTAACTTTAGATTCTGATGGATATAATCCTTATTTTGAATAGGTCAAACTGAATATTTGGTTTCTAATCAATCGTGTTCGGAATAATCGTCTTGAGGCTCTGAATATAGGCTTAGTGTTAATTAGCTTCTTATCATTTAAGCATAATATGAAATCCTAATAGAGCTAATGTTCTATGTAGAATCTGGACGAACGATGCACCCAGTGAGATGCTATTGTGATGTGTGTTACTGATGCCTGGAGGCAAAATGTTAGGAAGATCGAAGAAAAGAGAAGGAGAACAGAGGATGATTGTTGTGGAAATGAACAAACAGTAAGGTATGAGATGATTGATTGATGTTTACAAAAGGAGCAGTCAATCTTGAAACAATTGATTGACATTTTGATTGAGATCATGAATCGATCGATGTCAAACCTGGAAGCACTGGACGGCCGTTTTGTCCCAGTGGTAGCTCCTTAACAGTGAGAATCCACGAACCCACTCGTGGGATTCGAACAAGGGCTTTCGGTCTCGTGCGCGGACGTTTAACCTGTAGACCACTGAGCCAACCGGCATCCAACGGTGTTCATGTCTAACGTCAACCAATCCACAAAATTGAACGACCATCTTTCATTGTACTGAGGTAGAGACCTGTCTCTACCCGATACGCATCGACATCTTGTATAATGAAGTATTTACTGTGTGGTTCTCAGATTTTAATAAGATATTCTGTAATGCCGTTTTCAAATACGTTCGATTGTCCCCACTTTTGTTCCCGCTTATCACATTAGGACCACGACTGACATCTTACGCCAGAATTACTGATTTAAAGAAAAACAAATCCACTACTACTACCTTTATTACTGATTCCATCATTACTCACGGTTCTCTGTGTTAGTGTATACGTAATCACATAATACAGCTCTAATAAGATTTAGAAATTCATAACAAAAAAATTAAAGGTATATTATAAGTTAACTCATACAATCTCTTGAGATGTATTACAGTGATAGTGATAGGTTCACATGAATATATATCAAATCTGATATAGTACAATATCCAAGTAACTTAACACATATCTTATATTCTTAAAGATGTGAAAGTATTTCACCAAGTTGTTCTACAATTGATCGTTGTTTTCGAGCTACACTTGTAATTTCACATGGTATACACTGATATGTATCAGAAATTTCTTGCTATATATTCAATAGTGAAGAAAAAAGAAAAGAAAGGAAAATCAATCAATTTTCTTTTCATTATTTTTGCTTGTTTTAGTTATTTTTAAAAAGAAAAATCCTCAAATACTACACGGAGAACACTAATACAATCACACTTGATGGAGAAACTCTGGAAGATATGGAATCTTTCATGTACCTGAGAAGCATCATCGATGAACAAGGAGGATCGGATGCAGACATAATGGCGAGGATTGGCAAAGCAAGGGCAACATTTCTGCAGTTGATGATCATATGGAACTCAAAACAACTGTCAAGCAACATCAAAGTCAGAATCTTCAACATGAACGTCAAGACAATTCTACTATATGGAGCTGAAACTTGGAGAACTACTACAACCATCATCAAGAAGGTATAAGTATTTCTAAACAACTGTGTACGCAAGATACTCAATATCCGTTGGCCGAATACCATCAGCAACAGCCTTCTGTGGGAGAAGACAAACCAGCTTTCAGCTGAAGAGGAAATTAGGAAAAGACGATAGAAATGCATAGGACATACATTACGGAAATCATCAAACTGCATCACGAAGCAAACTCTAACTTGGAATCCTGAAAGGGACTGGAAAGGTTGAAGGCCGAAGAACATATGTCGGTAAATGGAAGCAGATATGAAAAGGATGAATAACAAATGGAAAGAACTGCCTAGAAAGTGGTTGGATGGAAAGTGCTGGTAGGGGGCCCATGCTCCTCCACGAGGAATAACAGGCGTTAGTAAGTAAATAATGAAGTATTAAAGACTTAGCTGTATTATGGCTTAATACAAACCTTAAACTGACAATTTATGAGAAGCTGTCATAGTAGATTACATTAGATAAAATCAGTTTGATTGGGTACTTTATAATGAGTTTTAAGACAGCAGAATTGTCCATGAACAGACAATGAATTAAGATAATTCAATTTCAATAGTTGGACTTTTAAAGCAATTATTCCTTTTTATAAATTTCGATAGAACAATGAGAAGACGGAGTTGATCTGGAAAATGTGATGTATTTGCGCTATACATTTCGAACAATCTAGTCACACATATACTTGTCAAGGCATTTTTATATGAAAATTAATAAAGGTCAAACAAATAAAAGTACAATTAAAATAACTAAGGGGGGAGAAAGAATAAGAATTTGTCGCGTTATCCTAGGCCACAGAATGACTTAAGGATTACCAAGGTAAATTCAAGGTTACGACAAATTGTTTTTGTACACATAAGGGGGGTTTAAATTTACGAATAGCTAAGGCTTCAATAAACTTAAGAATTCGACCTTGACAATTTCTATACAACGTTCTAAATGCTGTATTAATGTTAATTTTGTGTCCCGTCTCAATTATGTGTTTTGCTATCGATGAACTTGGTTTTCTACCTCCTACATTAATCGGATCATTTGACACACATTGATTTTTTAAGCCATCTGGGCACATGTTCATTGACCCTTGATTGCATTGTTCGGTTACTCCTCCCTATGTATGTGTGTCCACACAAACATGTAAATTGGTAAATACAGTGGGATGTGACGTAATCATTAGTGCATTGTTTGGGTCTATTAGGAATCATGGCCTTAGACTTTTCAATCACTACCAACTGAGCAGCAAAATACGTATTCTCGATGGCTGCTTTCAATCTCTGCCTTAAAACTATACTGTTAGATTCACCTCTATATGGTAGATTGATATAGACCTTTTTCTTTGGCACTGAATAAATTAGAGGTCTTGTCATTAACTGACTTTTGCACCTATTAATAAACTTGAGTGGATAACCATTTGCTATTAAAGTGTCAGTCAGTAACTTTTCATCGTTTTCCACCATATCAGAGGTACATATTCTTCGAGTCCTCTTAAAGAGGCACTTAACTAGACCTCTCTTGTATTGTAATGGACAAAAACTATGGAAATTTAAGTATTGTCCCGTCCAAGTTGGTTTCCTATACACTTGGACTTTTCTCAGATTAACTTATCCAAGTAAATTGTATTGACAATTAACACACCACCTAAAGTAAACTGGCCTAAAGTAACCGAGGTTGTATAATAAATTAAATGTAAATGTTGCCAAGTTATTATAAGTATATGGATTGTTCACTTAGGCAAAGCATATCCTTTTGTAAACAATATTGATCATTCTAACTACTTATAAATACACTTAACTTTTAAGTAGCACTTTCTCTCCACAACCTTTACTACAAGGTTGTATTCTTCTTATGTTTAGTTTATTCAGTTAACAATAACAGAAGGGGGATAACAATGTCATTACTAAACATACTAACCAACTGATGAGAAGTTGGATCAATTGGATAGTGTTACATCTGGCCAGAATATAAACAATAATAATTTGCTTATTCGTGGTTAGTTTTATGATGAATTCACTGAGTCAGTTAGGTTTTGAATGATACAGTAACTTGCTGATGACACTGCATGAGAATTGTATTATATAGCCTGTTTAGGAGGTGGGGGGCTGAAAATGTAGACCTAATGGCATACAGTTCACCGAGAGTCCTATCTTTCCTGGACTACATTTTGTGTAAGGTTATATGTGAGTATATTGAGGTGTTCGACACTGAAATGAAATGACCAAGTTATATTTTGTAACTTTTAAACGGTTATCAATCGAAGTCAGTTTATAATGAAAAAAAAACATATAAATGTCCATGTACTTCTGTGTTGACTCACTTTATTAATACTCATATTATTGAATAATACTACTACTTAATAACAAACATACTTTATTTACTTACTTGTAATTTATAGTTCATTGCTTGATTCATTTCAATCCGTTGACTTATTGCATATTCCGCTTCTTGACTACTACCAGTGAAACGTAAATCTAAATGAATCAAAGATGAATTCTGATCCATTCCATCTTGAAGCTTTTTACTGCCAACCTGAAGTTGAAAAACAGTGAAAAAACCATTGAAGATCATAGTCAGATGGGTTTTTTTTAAATGACACCATCTCTGTATTAATTAAATGAAGATCAAACAAGAACATGAAGGACTGACTGATCTGAGCAAGTGGTAGCTCATTTTCAAATAGAGATGAGGTTAGCAAATACACTGTATAGTTTATTTAAGTGTTTCATGAAGATTGATTTAATCCATGGGTTGTATTAGTCACAAATTGATCTCCATTCGGGTTGCCAAAGGAAAATCTACAAAACTGCTCACCCACAATTTAGTCAGAAAATAAAATCAGGACACTTAGATATTTAGTAGTTGAATTCATGAGTCGATCAAGGCTAGACCACTATAGAATACCTAGAAATACAGGATGACCATTTCATCCTAGTATATAACTCCTCAGTAGTGTGTATTCACGATCTCGCGCGCGAACGCTCAACCTCTAAACCACTGATCCGGCATCCAACGGTGTTAATATCTAACTCCAATCAATCCACAAATTGCACCACCAGCCATGATAAACGCCAAACTGTTATAACCACTAGGTCAATTTGTGATATAGCCCGACTTACTTCAAAATATTCCCGAACATATAGTGAGAAATCATGACTGGTGGATTTCAGGCATGCAGAAAGTAATACAGTTATCATTAATGGTCTTAGTTGATAGTCATGTCGTGTCATAAATTGACTTAAATTGAAATTGTGTCACTGGATACACAACTAATGGATCTAACAGTTATTTATTTGTTATAAACTTGAAGGTCCTGGGTTTAATTACTAGTGGAGTCATGCGCCTTTATCCCCGTGAAGTCCCATATTGATTTTTGCTAGTATCCCCTATTGAAATCGATCTATAATGAGTTAAACCTTAGGAATAATCAATATTTTAGACCGAAAACACATCTAAAACTTTACTATTATCAACTAGATTTTGTGTAATTTCATTCTTGATGCATTACTAATTATAATCGAGCGTATTAACTAATACATATTTGTTGACTGTATGAGTTTCTTGAGTCAAAAACTCATTCTTCCTTCTTTCTCTTATCTGTATTAGACTCTTATACTGATTATTCTTTACGTGTTCCTCCTTTATCTAATTGGAAGTAACAAAGTTGGACACATGGTACTAGGCAAAGATAGAATTGAGTAATGTTGGTTACAGTCCGGACGATTAATATGATTAATGGTCAAAAAATTTGAATATGTCACAATATCGGTCTCAATGGTGCATATGTATTGACTCTTTGTCTTAGAATGCCGATACGTTTTATTCAAGAATTCATTTTTGTTTCTTCTGCACTCATATGTTGCATGCCTAGTCTATTTTGATACTGTAGTGTGTGCTACTGATCATGGATATAAGTAGTATGTATCATCAATCGAAAGTGAAATGCTTGGAGGCAGAAGGTTAAGAAGATCGAAAAAAAGAACGAGAATAGAGAGTGATTAGTGTCGAAACGAAAGAACAATCAAGTCTGAGACGATTGATTGACATTTTGCAAATGAATAATTCACTGTATGATTCTCAGATTTTACTATGATGAGATTCCATAATTTTTTATTTAAATACATTTGGTTTTCCACGCTTGTGTTCTCGTTCAAATCACTACCACTAATACTGTTGTTACTGTTGAATTTATCTTGAAAAATTCATTCAGTTGTGCTAATATGGTGAAACAACTTGAAGAAAAGATTATCATTGCCCAGTTCGAAGTTGTTCATCACTCACTGACTGACTGGCACTCCACTGCAGGATGCTTCTTCAGATTAGATATCAACCATTCAAAGATTGTACTGTATGAAACAAGCTTTGTACTCGTAATTCAGAACGCTGAATGTCGTAAAGTATTATATTATGAAATACGACTATCAGCCATCTATAAATGCATTAAATAAACAACTGTTTTGTAAAAACTAAATAACTTTAGAGAAACCTTCTTGACATACTGATACTAACTCAAAACACTACTGAATAACTATCCTTCATTTCTAGCTATAGAGGACATTCACCTTACAAGACGACAACAAGCTTTCATATTTCACAATTGATTGATCACTGGGCGGTGATCAATGTCATGTGTGTCAAGTCCTTATTAGTGCAGATCGAATCCTATCGACCGTGTTGCAATGTGGCCACCAGTCTAGGTGACTCGACATTGTGTGCACTATATATTGAGATTAGATGGTAGTTGGAGGTAGTCGACATGAAACCCTACATAAGATTTAACAAACAATCCTCTTAATTATTCACACTCATTGTTATTCCATTCTTCTTCATCTTTTGCGTTTCGTATTTATGTAATTTTTGATGATTATTATTTTCATGGATTCTTTTCTCCAAATTCATTCTATCCTATACTGTTGTCTACGTTGTCTGATGGAGTTTTGTTCTCTGAACTGGATAATTTAGTCATGGAGCTTTCATCGTTTTTTCTGAACGACACCATCAGTAAACACTCCAGGTATAAGTCTATCATTCTTATAATAATAATTATTTATTTAAACACATAAATATTGGTACAAGGATGCACCAAATAGATATGCGTCACACAAATCATTCGATTTATGTGAGGGCTTGGATATTGCCTGTGTGTCCAAACCGAAACAGGTGGTTTTCTTAGGGTCCACACCTCGAGTCTTTGACCTAAATGTCTGATCCACAAGGCAGTAGAGCAGCGTCAGGAGATAAAGTCCCATGGTAGCCGGTGACCAGCAATTGGTTCGTACGCCATTTGTTCCCTCAGGATACTGGAGCCCATGTACACTACTGGTTTGGAATTAGGGTTTCTTAACTCCCCTAGATGTATCCACCAACCCAGTTAAAGAGCCAGACAATCGCTTTTCGTCTTCTCCATTTCGTAAACAACACTCCAGTGGCGAGAAGGCAGTGAGTAGGACTTCTCTGGCAGTGGTTGTATGCATGTGGCCATATGAGAGCATTTCGAGAAGGAGATCTGACTCTCCACACTTTCGGTCATACAAGGGCGTTTGAAGGCAATTAATAATATACCTGTAATCATACTATCAATTCATATTATCTACTTATAAACCCTTTTTCATTATTATCATTGAATAGGAAATTTCTATAATTAGTTTATGCTTTTTCATACATTCATATAAAAATTATTGTACTTTGTAGTAAAGCTTAATGAATATCTAACTCTGAAATTGTCATATCCCGATGAGAATAATGAATGGTATTTGTTGGGATCCATTTATAGACCAATACTATGAGTATATTTTTGTCGTATAATTGTTGAGTAACTAAGCTATTCATATTCGTGTCCCTCTTATTATGAGCTTTATTTTGACCTATGAACTATTATTATACGATTCACCATTCTTGAGTTATACCCAGTCTATTAATTACTACATCCCACATTCACAGCCACATTCGGTTAAGTCTTGTATAAACGCTGTTTCCCATTTTAGGGTACGATGTGGTCTGTCTGGTTGATATATAAACTGAGTATGTTTGAAATAAATGATTCATATCACAAAGGCTGAGATTGATGTTCTGGACTCCAACAGACAGTGCTAGGCGGGAAGCAGGATCTCCAAGGACTCTAGACTTCTCATACAGGTTTTATGCGTCATTAGTCCGGTCAATAAACCACTGTTTGCTAACTAGCGGTATCATTATGTTATACATTAATATGGACACAGGGCACAAGTTATATAAGAAATAATTATTATTACATAACTTACTACACCTATTTGATTATTTGATAAATCTAAATGAGTCAATGTACTATTCTGTGTAAGTACATGTCCAAAATATGTTGCTGTATTTTCATGTAAATCATTTACTGCTAAATTAAGTTCTTTCAATGTAGAATTTTGAATTAATGCCTAGACAAATTTAAACAAAAGAAAAAGAAAAATCAAATCATTAATGACAACCATTTCAAAAATTTAATAGGTGAAACCAACGTTAAAGTGATCATGAGAATATCCACCTACTAACTAGGACTAAAGCAGTGTGAGGAATTAGAGATTTTACAGTTGATGGTTAGAGTTAGGAATCACGTATAGGGTTTTCACTACGAACTGATATCAACTACAATGCTAAAACATTATGCGACCAAAATGAATGAATGAATTTCGCGCCAAAAAAAATCCAACTCCTTGCTATGTTTGAAGCGATTACGAGTTCACTTTGTCTGTGAACGGAACAAATACTTGTGACCAAAGACCAATAACCTAGCTATCTCGATGCGTCTCAGCCCCGCTAACTAGAGAGAGAAGTCGAAGTCCGAAAGGGGGACGTATATTCCGCAAAAAGCCAGAAGCACGAGCGATAACAACGAACACAAATCAAAACATGTAATATACAGCACAAAACTTTCCTTGCGAAGCGTTGCAAAATAGCATACTAAAAGACAACGGACCAATGGCGTTTAAGATTGTCCCATGTGGGAAATACGACATGAAGGTGGAAAGAGCGCTTTTGGCGCGAAAACAAAGAAATTCAAATTTTCAAAATAAAATTACAAAATTAGGATCTTTTCCAAGTGTGTTCTGGGGATCTAACGTCCCCAACAGTTCTATTATCTTATATCTGATTGGTTCGTTCATAAATTATCGTCTCACCGTTTAGTTTATGAATTCATTATTACATTACATTAATGAAACAAAGTTTCGAAAGACAAATGGATATTGATCATTATTTGGAAATTAGTTATTTTTCCATTGTTTAATAAGATATTAGTAGATGCTAATGAATTTTCATTTTATCCTAGACATTTTTTGAATACTATAGTAACTTAATAGTTGAATTCATGAGTCAATTAAATCCAGATCACCATGGAAGCCAATGCCGTTCAACTGAGTCTGTTATGATATAGTAACTCTTTAAAGACAATGATGGACTGTGGTGCAATTTAATGAATTGGTTGAAGTTAGACATTAACACCGTTGGATACCAGCTCAGTGGCCAAGAAGTTAAGCGTTCGCATGCGCGAGACTAACAGGTCCTAAGTTCGGATCCCGTGAGCAAGCGGTCCCATACTAAGATGAAATGGCCTTCCAGTGCTTCCAGGTTTTCCATAGTGATCTAGCTTCAATTGATTGATGAATTGGATGAAATTCTGTGAATATATTGATCTTGTTACATTTGTACTCATAATTCATTTATTCAAATAGGATGAGAATAAGAATAAAGATTCTGGGGTGAAGTTGAAGTTTTAACGTAGATTTAATCCATGTATTCATCGACTATTGGTTTGATTTGTGTAAAAAGTACTTGCAAAACTTTGATTGGCATCTATTCTATTCTATTCCCAGAAGGCCTGCTTGAATATCTGAGCTACCTGTTCCTACCATTTAGATATTTCGATAAGTTTCCTGTCTTCTTGTTTGTTCTAACAGATCATTATGTCAATTAATTGCATAACCTATTCAGGTGCGTTTGTGAAACATTTACAACATTTTGCTGTACAAGTTATAAAAATGTACAATCGGAGACATTGTGATGGCTGACAATATGCATTGAAAGGAATGAACATTATTCAGATGTCAACTTCTGAAATGCTTATATCTAACTGGTTATCTCACAATATTCACCGTCAATATCGATCAAGAAATAAGAAATGGAAACTCGCTGAAAGAGATAGTTTTCATTCCTCTTCTTAAGGCAGTTAGTCTCAATTCGGACCAATGCCTTTTTAGCCTCAAGGTTAAACCAGTTAGTCTGTCGTGTCAACGTCTCATTCCGGATCGACATAAGTTCTCCCTTGTACATTATTGGGCATACAGATAAAGGACGTAACAGAAGTGAAATATGATATGTTGGACTGATGAGTATTTTTGATAGATTTTAAGTTGTTCATTACTAACTAACTAAAAACTTGTAAGAGAAATAAATTAAACAACCATTTGGAGTGATTGATATAATCCTAATGAATTTCTCCAATCTTTGACATGAAATCTAAGTTAAGAGCATCTTGACGACAGCTTTCAAACAAAAATAGAAGGTACCATGCGTCTGAGCTCAGAAACTTAATGGAAAACGTGCTATCATTTGAACCACAAAGTATTGAGTCCGATTCTGTGTGAATATCAACACTAGAATAAAGAAATATCGACCTGACGGGTTCGAAATAGGAAGAAACGTGCCCCATCGATTCCTCACTTCGTTACTAACTGTTAAAAATTTAACTTAATCCAATTACGCCTGTTACTCCCAATGGAGCACAGGCCGTCGACCATCATTCTTCAACACACTCTGTCCTGGGACTTCCTTTCTAGTTCCATCCAATTGCTATTCATTCTTCTCATGTCTGTCTCCATTTCCCGGCGCAATGTGTTCTTTTGTCATCCTCTTCTCCTTTGGCCTTGACGATTCCGAGTGAGGGCTTGCCTTGTGATACAGTTGGGTGCTTTCCTCAATATGTGTCCTATCCACTTCCAGCGCTTCTTCCTCTGCTAAAATCTGGTTTGATCTCTCCCATGGTAGGTTGTTGCTGATAGTATCTGGCCAACGGATCCGAAGTATTTTTTGTAGACAATTGTCAATAAACACTTGTATCTTCCGGATGATGGCTTTCCTAGTTCTCCAGGTTTCTGCCCCATACAGTAGGACTGTCTTGACATTTGTATTGAAAATTCTGATCTTGGTGTTGGTTGACAGTTGTTTTGAGTTCCAGATGTTCTTCAGTTGTAGATATACTGCTCTTGCTTTGCCGATCCGCCCCTTCACATCTGCATCAGATCCACCGTGTTCATCAATAATGCTGCCCAAATATGTAAAGGTTTTTACATTCTCTAAAGCTTCTCCGTCAAGTGTCATTCGATTGTTGCATGCTGTGTTATATCGGAGACTCTTGCTTTTCCCTTTGTGTATGTTGAGACCTACTGCTACTGAGGCTGCTGCTGCTGCTACACTGATCGTCTTCTCCTGCATTTGCTATTTCATGTGAGATAGAAGAGCCAGATCATTTGCATAGTCTCCACCTGGAGCCCCCTCCGCGGCTAATGCCGGTCCCAAGCCTGAGTAAAGAGAAAGGCTTGGGCATGAGGTTAACAACCCTAACCCGTAGAAAAATAACTGGCTAAAAAAGCCGCTAGCCAGAAAAAAAAACAATTCAAACTATTGAAGATTTATTGTGATTAAATGAAGAAACTAAATGAGTTCACTCAGAATGGATGATTTATGCCAACAAATTCTACCAGTTTCATTCGTTAACATCAACAATTATAAACAAAAGATAACACAGACATTTCATAAGGAACTTACTTTCGCTAAAGCAATACCTCCATCATCTTGTAATTTATTCATACGTAAATTCAATTGTATTAAATGACAATCTGATTGTGAAAGTGTATAAGCTAATGTTAAACCACTTGTTGACTTTAAATGATTATTTGTTAAATTTAATGATTTAATATGATTTTTACCAGTTAATAATTTACTTAATGCACGTATACCATGATAACCAATTGAATTATGGGATAAATTTAAACATTCTAATGTTGGATGATTTTGTAAATGAGTTGCTAATAAACGACATTGTTCAGAATTAACATGACTACTGAATAATTAATATAAAAGAAAAACAATTTTATAAGAAGTTTGAATAAGTAAATGATAAAGAAAGTAATAAAAAAAAATGATGAAAGAACTCACAAAATGCCCTGATACGACCAAGGGTGTGGAGAGTTAACTCACTCTGTCTCTTTCTCTGTCGAAATGCTCTCACATAACTATGTGCATACAACCACTGTCAGGGAAATCCTATTGACTGTCTTCTCGCATCACGAATGTTGTTTACGAAATTGAGAACACGAAAAGCGAATGTCTGGCACTTTAACCGGGTTTGTGAATCCACTCATAGGAGTTGGAAAATCCTGATTCCAAACATATAGTGTACATAGGCTCCAGGATCCTAAGGGAACAAATAGTGTATGAACAAATTCTTGGTCACTGGCTACCATGAGACTGTATCTTCTAACGTTGCCAAACTGCCTTGTGGATTAGACCTCTAGGTTAAATGCTCGTGGTGTGGCACCCTAAGAAGTCCACCTGGTTCGCTTTGCTCAGTCAGTCAGTATCCCAGCCCTCACACAAATCGAATGATTTATGTGGCGCATATGTATTTCATGCCTCCTTGTACCAATGTTTATGTGTTTCAGTAAATATTTAAAGACAACGATTGAAAAAGAGGATGCACTGTAAAGTGGTTTCATATTAGTATGTGCACCCTGAAAATGCTCATCTTTGATCCTACCGAGGGTCCTGAATAGCACTCATCTAAGATATCATGTAGAACGGAACCCAGGATTTTTATCAGGTATTAAAATAGGGAAGGTAATCTCAAACTAATGAATTTAATTTCTACGTAATTTACATTTAGTCACTGCACAATATTACATGACCACCATTAACTGTTACCAGAGCGGTAGAATTCATCGAGTAATCCATGTGGTATTCATTACTTCTTTGTTTCAAACTGTTATCTGGAAAACGTAAATTTATAAATAAACTTTTCTTCACAACAATATTCGTGTGTTTGCTAATGAATAGCCGTTGACTGATTCTTAAGATTTTAGAGAAATGTTATAGCTGGTTGGATCCAATTGTTGATCCAATTGCAACACAAAGCAAGCCCTCACATGGAATCCTCAAGGCCAAAGGAGAAGAGGAAAACAAAAGAACACACTGCGCCGAGAAATGGAGACAGACATGAGAAGTATGAACAACAATTGTATAGAACTAGAAAGGAAGGCTCAGGATAGAATGGGTTTGACAATGCTGGTCGACGGCCTATACTCCATTGGAAGTAAACAGATGTAAGTAAGAGGTTTGATTAAGATCATGAATCAACCAATATTAAACCACTATTGAAAATCTGAAAGCATTAGAGGTTAAATGTTCGCATGTAGGACCGAAGGTCCGAAGGTTCAAATCCTGCATAAGGAATTGTGAATGCACATTGTTGTAGATCCATGCTGTGGATCCATTTCAGACAAAAAAACAAAATGAGATAATAAATTAGAAAAACTAAACTAACTTGATAAGATTCAATATTTTTAAATGTTTATGTTGTTGTATGGCTTTGATAAATTTAAACAATCATTTATTGTAAATTGAAATAATGACCATTCAAAATTCATTCCACAATCTTTTATTGTATAAGTTAGACTTAATTCATTTAAATTAAATAATTTTTCTAATATTAAACTGAAATTTAAATGATCCATTTGTAATGGTATATGAGATTGTTCTAATTCACTTTCAGTACCGGAATCATCATCCTACATGATAAGATAAATATAGAGTATTGAAGATCTATAATGATTATGTTATAAAAGGTAAATAGTTTTAGATAAATCATTATGTATTAGATTAATGATCTAATGGTGATATACATCTTGTGTGATTGAAAATTCTGATTAGATCTTCAATGAAGTTGTAGATCCTTACTCTAGAAGAGTTTCATGCTAGTAGTACAAAAAAAAACAGTTATACTGTCCTTTACAATTTTCAATGGTTGTTTAATTAAGGTGATGAGACTATAATTTATGAACGACTTTTCAGTGAAGCTAAATTGACCTTGAGAGTGTCTACCTAAGAACTAGGACAAAACGAGGGTTATAAATTAATGTGAGGAATTATGGTTAGGAATTACATTTAGGATTTTCATCACGAATTGATATCAGCTATAATGCCAATACTCTATTTAGCTAAATGGGTGAGTGAATTTCGAGATAAAATCCGAGACCTGTTATCTTATACCTGGTTGGTTCGACCGTGAATTATAGTCTCGTCATTAAGGTTAGTATATAACGTAAACTATGAAGTTTAACAACTTCCATAATACACCCCATATTAATAAATAAAGTTATTTTATTGTGATTTATTTCAAAACATTTAGTTGGAGTAGGCCATAATGATAAACTTTAAAACAACAACGAAAGCTATAGAATAAAACCATTTAACTCAAACAGCACAATCTCATCAAAGTTTATTGAAATCTTTAGTGTAATTATAAAATATTTTGAGATGGTCAGTCAGTTACAACGTAGGACCAGGCACATATATGTATCAGTCCAAGTTGCCACACCATATTAGCACAACAACATAAGCAACGGATTCATAGAAGCAGATTACTCAATGGTGGTAATATATAAAAGAAAGATTGCATATAAGAACACAGTATTGGAAGAAAGAATTAGTTGGTAGAAAGAAGGATATGAAGCGATTTTAATCTCACAATTTAAGGGAAGATAAAGAGTGTGTACATCTACACCATTGTGATCGATTCCGAGCCATCTCACACACAGTCTACCACCATTGGTTATGATAGTCACACGGACCACAACCAAGTATTCTGCATCTAACGCCATGACTAAGACTAGAAGTTAGTGACTTCAAGCACTGATGCCCAGTTTTGGTTTGACCACCCCTAACATTCTTCCAACTATCTCCAACATCACTCAGCATTGCGCGTTGTGATAATCGGTGTTCAGGCATACGTAACACGTGGCCCAACCATCTCAGTCGATAAAAATTCATAACCTCATCAACTGATTTACTATCATTCCCTGATACCTTGCGTCTAACCTCACTATTACTTACCCGATTATCCCAACAAATGTGAGCCATATTTCTAAGGCATCTGTGATGAAATACCAGTAACTTACGAGTATCTACTCAGTTGGATGTTTTTTATGAAGTCTTATTCTTTGAGTTGAATACTTTGATCGTGGAGCTTTCATCGTTCTTCTGAACAACATCATCATCAATAGCACAAATTGCAAAGAATAAAACTTCATCAAAATTATTTTTTCAAAAAACATCTTAACTTCACCTTATATCTAAAGTGTAAATTAGGAAAAAACGAAACAAAAAAACTACTGTTTACCAATTTAGTTTGTTTATTTTTTTGTTTTAATGGAGGTAAAAGTTGTTGAATAATAAGACGTTGAATATATGGTGCAGCATAATGAACACATTCTTCTAAACGGGATGTATATGTTGTACCAGGTATAAATGTTTCAATAATTTCTTCTAATAAACGTTCAAAATATGCACGTTTCCATGATCCATCATATTGGGTGATATCAATAATTGGCCATTTTGCATAGCAACAACGTATCCAATATGGATCATTATCATCAATAATATGTGATATTACTTTTAATGATAAATTCGGTGGTAAAGCATCTAATAATCGACGTTTTTGTTTTTCATTCATATACATAAATGGTATTGGATTATCTTGAGATAATATAAAAATTTAATTAAAAGAGTCATAGTAATGTAAATGGGTAACTAAGTGAATAATCAAAGAGGTTTCCTTGAAAGTTGATTCATTTTATAAATAGTAATGATCATAGATTGATCTCAATCGGGGTATTATTATTAAAAATCGAAGAGGACTGTGTAATGTTTCGTCCTAATGTAAAACTCTTCAATAATGCACAACTACACCAGAAATTGAATTTGCAGTCTTTATGTCAGACGGTAAGTGTCTAACCATTTGAACCACTGGATTAATTTCTAATAGTACAATTCTTAGGTTCAGCTTATTTTCAACATAACTTGAATTACTTTAAGATGTTCCTGAAGTTCTAGTAAAAATCCGTGATAGATAGAGCCCAAACGTGTACGACGGATGATAGTTGTGCTATATCGCGAATTCATTGGAATTTTACCAGTAAACTGTCACTTGATTTGTCTAATGGTTAAGTGTCAGGTATGAGACCTGTGGTTCACGAGTTCACATTGCTGTGAAGTTTCCTACCAGGACGAACTGACTATTTAAGCCACTAGCACAAAATATAAGTATAAGATTCTATCACTAAATGAATGAATATAGAATATGGTGGAAATTCACATCTTTTACATTTGATAAATAAAGAAGATTTAGGAGTTTGCCTTTTGTACATTACTAAAACTATAGGAATCCATTTTCACAAACAAAACCTTTGCATCCAAAAGAAGTTTGTACAACCATTCTCGCTACCTTAACCATTGATATAGGGAAGTTTGTAGTAAAACTTTGATAAACTATTTTCGTATTTTTTCCAATTTTTTTGTATTTTACTTTTTCTCAACATTCGTCTCTTGATCCTTACCTAACTACTATACTACTGATTATTCATCAAATATTTTGTTAGTTCCTTTTTATCTATTATGCAACGTAGCAACTAATTGATTCTCAAATAATTACTTTGATTATTATAGATCCTCTTCCTTCAAATTACTCAATGTTAGTTTATAATCGAGATGTCGTTATATAATTACTACGTAACGTATCTATTCGATGAGTACTATTTCATTGTTGTAAGTCATACATATATATTAGTGTAGAGCGATGATGAAAAACTAATTGACGTGGCGCGATTTCGTGGATTGGTTGAAGTTAAACATTAATACCGTCGGGTACCGGCTCAGTGGTCAAGAGGTTAAGCGTTCACGTGCGAGACTGATAGATTCTGGATTCGAATCACGCTGGGTGACATTTTGGATGTGCACTACTAAGGAGACCCATACTAGGATGAAACAACCTTCTAATGGAAAACCTGGAAGCACCGGATGGCTGTTTCGTTCTAGTATGGGACTCAGCGTATCCACAATTCCGCCTGCGAGATTCGAACCCAGGACCCATCCGTCTCGCGCGAGAACGCTTAAGTAGAGGGAATGAATAATAACTCGGTGATTCCACTTGTTGTTGCTAACTTCTTGATTTTTAGTCTTTCCTCAGTTCTGTTTTACTGTGTTATCAGAAAACATTACAACTTCAGCCACAGTAACTCACTCTTCCATTTAGTTGCTGAGGTTTGATCAAATTATTTCATTTTGGATGTCCTTTATTTTTCAATTTAGAAATATATTACTTTAAACATTATCAGTAGTTAAATAAAGTTCTCAAACATAAAATGGCTATAACGTACATTCAAAATTTTCTGTGCAATGTTTTAAGCACAAATCAACTAACGGTGGTACAATAGTTAAATTATAGTTAGGATCTTCAGCTACAATCCGACGCATAATTCTATGATCCGATGTGTATTTTTCAAACTTCTCTTTCGTTTGTGAAGGCGATTTTCGACCAATAGATTCATTCAGTAATGGCATTTCACTTTGCATCTTGTTAGCTATATTTTCTGGCAACGTAACTAGTTCTTCGTTAATAACTTGCTGATTAACCACTGCATCTGTATCATCTGGAGTCTGTAAATGAACATGAAGTAAATTATATCATACATGAATAAGTACATTAGTTTAAGTAAATCCTGAACGCCTTCCACAATAAATAACCCCAACTGTTCATAACAAGAGATTTCTAATCATGCATTAACGTTAAGATGAGTGTTCTTCAGCTTTTAAAAATACGATAAAAGAGAAATTCTTAGCTATAATTTTAATTAAGCAATTTAAAATAGAATCAGATGGTTGAAAAATTACTTAAAGACAAAACATTTGCCCAAACAAAAACATATACTTACTTATTACTAGCCTTTCGAATGTTTTTTTAATAGCTTGCTTCTGTTCTATGGTTTAAGCGAATATCCAATCCAGTTGTCTGACTAGTAGATGAATGATATAAAATGTTATCAATGATAGAACTTTTGCCTCCACAAAGAAAACATTTTTATGACGATAAGGATTTCATGGTAGAATCAAACTTCTTACATGACACAGGAAAACATGTCTAATTGAGAGGTTCAATACCACTACAGATACTATGAGACCAAAATTGATAACTGAAAAACAGATCTAGTCCAAAAAGCGAGATAGGTAATACACCCCAAATAACCTTTTAAGAAATTATCCTTAAGAATAGCTTTAGGCTCTCACTTACAACAATTAATAGACAAACGAGGAGATATATTTGGTTTCTTCAATTTGGTCATTACTTAATGTAACCGGGGATATATAGTCTTACTGCTTAACTTTGACATTTCTAAAGATTTTGACATGGTTAACCACCAGCTTCTTATAGGCGAACTCGCATCTTACGAGGCTGAAAATTTTCTGCTTGCTTGGTTTAATTCTATCTCCAGCCACCGACATCACATAGTCTAAATTAACGCCTTGTCGGATGCTGCCCATTCAAAAGTGGTGTAATAGAAGGTGGTCTTAGACCCTTTGCTAGTTTTAATTTATGTAAATGATATTTGCAATAGTTTCTTTATGGGTAAGCCTCTTCAATATGCAGATGACCGTAAAGTAGTCTATTCACTTTTTCCTCAAGAGCTGAAGAACATGCAAAAGTGCATCAATATGAAGCTCGACAAGGTAGCCAAGTGGTGCTTAAAATGGCAGTTGGAGCTTGACATGGATAAATGTGGATGGATCTGCTTTAGCAATACTTCACTCAACACGGATCTTACCATAAATGATAAGGTGTTATCCAAGTCACATTCAGTAATGAACTTAGGATTCAGGTAATCCTACAATTTATCCTTCTCAGAACAAGTCCCGAAACAGACCTCCAGGTCTTAATACCCTCTGATTTGCATAGTTTGTAACCTCTCTAACAGAGAGTCACGTATTTTAATGTACAAAGTATGTGTTCAATCACTTCTTCAATACTGCGCGTTTATTGTTAGTACTGTCAAAGACGACTTACACTTTGAAATCTCTCACTGACTTTACCTTAAATTATGAGTCCATATGCAATAAATTTGAACTTGACTCTTAATGAAAGAAGAGACTCAAACCAAATCCAATCCTTTTCTTCAGAATACTTAATAAACTATCTTTTATACCCAATGAACCAATTCAATATGTAAAAACCCTTAGTTACAGCATTCGTAAATCTTTGTGCATAGTGTAACAATGTCATTCTAAATCCTCTCTTTATATGAATTACTTTGTCAGTGAATGTTTTCAGACTTATGTAACTTTCCACAATTTGGAAGTAAAACGAAATCACTCTCATCCTTCGTTTGCTAAATCAATGCTTGCTTCTCCCTTGAAAACGCCTTACATTTTCTTACACCCATAATTATATCCAACTCCACAGCTACAATTATAGGAACTTTAAGTATTTAACTGTTTTTATTACCGAGACCACTAAGCAAACCGCCTAACCTTCTGTTACTTAACGCTAACACCAACGATGGTGACCCTGACTAACTTGAATAATGTCTAACCTGGACAGTACATCATAAAATAACCTAGCACAATTATTATGATAGATCTAACTGATGTATTGTAATGATCATTGCGTTTGTTGTTCCTTGCTCTCTATTTCCGTTGCATTTTCTCTGGTTGTATATGGTTATAAACACTTTATTATGGCGCTAGACATAGCCTTAAATAAACTATTCATACATCAAAAGAATGTCACTTAAACAGAATTAAAAGTTACCGGCGGACGCCTTTTATTAATGCAATACATGTAGAAAAATGTGCTTCCGAAACAATTTTTGACCTAGAAAGCTTCAAACAATCAGGCACGTCATATGTCATCTACATTTAACATTACTATCTGTATCAAGCTGCTCATGCCTATAAGCTGGCATGAATTCTGTAATTATTAGCTTCGGAATGTATAATTACTATTATTATATTACACAAATGTTTTTCCAGAATACGTGAACTGAAAATTTATTATTTTGAATTGAGACAAAACACATTAGCATATTTTCTCATTATACCTCATAACTGCTATCTATAGATTAGTAGCAGGTTACATCAGAACATCACAAATAAAACGTATCAGATTATGGCATTTCACCCCTAAATAACTTAACACAGAAATCCAGAAAAGTAGGAAAATGTTAACATTATTAGCAGAATGAATTGCAGGGGGTATGTCATTGACTATCAAACCTTATCATTTTTAGGACGCCAGGCAGGTATTTTATCACTTACTACATTGCACAAAACGAGAAACGTAAGCACTTTTCTACCTCAATTTTCTTCAAAACAGACTATTTAGTTATTTGGTATAGGGAAATTGAGATTTCTCAGCAGTGGAATATTTGGTACGTCTTCTGACATTCTATACTTCAACTTCTAATAGAAAAGTTGCTTAGGGAATATTTCTGAAGAGTTAGTTTACCAAATAAAGCTGATTAATTTAAAAAACTCACTGGATTTTCCAGTACTTACTGCTCCTAAACCACAAAAACATCTCTTATTGACTAACTTGACATCCCTTAATTTTGTTTTCGTACATTTAATGGAAGTAACTCAGTTCATTGAGAAGTAACTATTTACTTATCTTGAAGGTTTCTCACTCACATAAAAGAAAATCTTTATAAAACAAAATTCTAGTATTTTTTTCATCTGAATTTGATTCGACTTAATTAACATCTTGCCTTCGATTATTAACTTACCTACGCCCATAATCCACCATGGAGGTGTATAGGCCGACCACCAGCATTCTCCATTCAACTCTGTCCTGGGTAATCCATTCCAGTCATTTCCAGTTTTTATTCATCCTTTTCATGTCTGCTTGCAATTTCCAACGAAATGTGTCCCCTGGTCTTTCTCTTCTCATTTCTCCTTTAGGATCCCAAGAAGCGCTTGCCTCGTGTTGAAGATTGATGATTTTCGCAATGTATATCCTATCCGCCTCCAGCGTCTCTTCCTAATTTCCTTGTCAAGTGGAAGCTTATTTGTTTTCCTGTAACAATAGCTATTGCTGATGGTATCCAGCCAATGGACATTCAATATCTTGCAAAGACAATTGTTTATAAATACCTGCACTTTTTGATGGTGGATTTAGCGGTTTTATTTTCAGTTCCGTAGAGTAGAACTGTCTTGACGTTCGTGTTGAAGATTTCGACTTTGACGCTGGTAGACAGTTGTTTTGAGTTGCAGATGATCACTAATTGAAGGAGTGCTGTCCTTGATTTGTCAATTCTTGTCTTAACATTTGCATCAGATCCTAGCTGACCATTAAAGCTGCTGCTCAGGTAACGTGAACGTTTGCGCCTCTTCCATAGCTTCCCCATCACGTGTGGATTGATTGGTGATTTTGCTGGTGAATTTGCTGCTGTTTCAAAAAGTACTAATTAAAAAGCATGAATATATAGCTACATCAAGCCGGATGCATCTGTGACCGTATAAAGCTTAAAACAATTTTCTCCATTACTGTGAATTCCCTTCACTTGCTCATAATTTGTCGGCGGCTTTGTAAATGACATACCGTGGGTGGGAACAATTTCATGGCTACTGAAATGTTGTTTTCACCCCGAACGCGTTCTACTTAGCTTGACGATTGTGTATCTGTTTTTATGAGCAGACATAAACGACCTATTGAGTCAAATAACATATGATTAGTTTTTAAAGAATACAAATCATCGACCCTACAAAGTACAGTCTGGCCGTAATATGACATGATATCAGTACAAAATACAAGCCAAGCGATAATCAGATCCTCTGTTCCTAGTAAAGCAAGATCCTTGTGCTCCGATTTAATATGGATTCTAACCCTAATTCCTATTCACCTACGTGTTTGCCCTAGTAAAAAACCACCTTTTCTCACTAAGTATCTATCCCATGTTAAACGCCTTCCCAGCTTACTTTATCAGTCTTTTCATTAGAAAGCTCCAAGCAATTAGTAAACGATTGTGTGTAATATACGAACTCTACACTATCTGGGACAGTAGGTAACATTATAAGACTTCACTGAATAGTATTAAGTCCCCACTTCAACTTGAACACTACTGTCAGAAATACTGTCAACTTTTTTTTGTCTGTCTAACTTAAACACCTGTCTTCATTATCATCCGAATTTTGTTTAATTGTTTTGTTAACTTACTTCTGATCACATTTTTTCTCTTATTCTTTATATCTCATCATAATATCCAGTAATATAAAAGTAATAATTTTTTAAACCCATCGTTTAGTGAAAAAAGGGTTTGAAACGATGATAAAGCTTGACTATTTAACTGACATTTTAATAATCTATTGTTGTTGTTAATGTAGTAAAAGTGTACCCAATCTCCACATTTTGAAATTTTCATCTGTCTTTGGAAACTTGCTATAGAAATTCTGGGGAAATTTTGAAGAAACTGCACTTAAATCCAAACATTTGCACAGATCTGGATAAATCTCAAAGATTTTAAGGTACGTCATCAGACTTGAAGGATTGGCACAAAATTTTCCCAAACTAGGGAAATTATGTAACATATTGAATACATTGTATTTGAAGTTGCATACGTATGCAAGAGTATACTCTTAAACATAATGTGCTTAAAAAACAACGCTCGACGCAAAAAATGGTTTTTGAGAACGAATCACTATAGAGACACTATAGTTTAACAAAAAAACAGCACATAATTGCATCTCATCAAAAATAATCTCAAAATGTATTAAAAAAGAATTTAATTACTCTCAAAAATGGATGATCAAAAATTGGACAATTATGAAGATGGATAACAACAGACTACTATGACAGTTAGATAGAAAAGTTAATTTAAAAACTATATGCGGAATGTTTTACCTGTGAACTCTCCTCCTCATCTCCAGCCATTTGATTGGAATTTAAAAGACCGCATTTTGTTGCTATGATTTACAAGGTTGTAAGTAATCAATATACAATGTTTATATAAAGGTATCAAAATCTTTAAAAAGAGGTTGTATATGCCAGTTGATTTTCTCGCGATAATTTCTTGATATCTTCGCACAGTTTAACGTGTTTTGTAGTGTTTAGAGAATGGTAGTTCAGGCACTCGACTTCACTTAATTAGTGTGGTTAATTGAGGATGTATACAACATGCAATTAGAGTGAATGCAGTAAGGTATCTGGATACCTGCAGCTATCACATAATCAGACAAAAGGTTGGCTGGTTGCAATGTAAAGATAATAAAGTGATAAATTGAGCGCTAAAGAGGGCTATTCTAAAAATGATAGATTGCTAAACTCAGAAAGCGTGTAATAAGACGAAGCTAATAAAAATTAGTGGGAAAAGAAAAGTGAGAATTAGTTGTACAGGAACAAGTTAGTGTTTAGTACAGAAATGACATGAATATGATAGTTTCGCATTATTATGAACAGCACGAATTGATTACAGAAATATACCAGTGCAACATAGTTATTAACACCCAGAAAAAATAGATAATGCGTTTCATCTTATGAAGTTCCATGTCTCTTTTCAATTCCTGTTTCAAGTGGACAGATAATTCACCAAAACACTTACAAAAAGCGTGTTAACCACCTCCTCTGTTAAGTTGCATACATTTGACCTTCGTCATCTCAGAAACATATTGGACTACCATGTCTGTAGGTTCTGTGGGACTGCAGCAACTCATCTCAACGTTTCATTTAATTCACTATCCTGTCTACAATCACCAACCATCTTCGATAGTGAAACTCTTTCCAGAAGTAAAAACTGTGACATATTCCAAACCTGATTGTTCTGTGTTCATTTTATTAATAGTGTCGTAGGAATGTCTTCCACAGAGCTTTGTATTTGTTGATCGTGAGCTTTTAAAGCTCAAAGACAAATATTTTAGTTTGTTGGATGATGAAAACATTTCTAACGGAATTCCTCTCTAACATAAGTAATGTTTAGCAAAATATGCCTGTTTATACCTAGCTTAGATTCTTAGGTAATTCATAAGATGAATACTAGTCGGAATACAATGATGCTAAAAGCTGAGTGTGTAGTCGTTCTACCATGGATCCCGTGACATACCTTCGCAACGCATTTTCGCATTCCTTCTGAAGATTCTTGCCGATGTCATTGGAAGTTACAGGAGCTCTCTTGATCACATAATTAAGTTACTACATGATCAAATAGATTGTAATTGAAGTCCGTGTAATGTGAAAAATGTGGGAGATATGATGAGGATATCTACAACAGAATGTGGCGGTTAAAATTTCAACATCCTAACATGATATGGAATATCGTGTTATTAACTATCATTGGTAGTGGCATTAGGCTCTAACCACAAAATCTTCAAGGCTGAAATCGAGACAACTTGAAAAAGACATTCAACACTTAACGCGGAGATAAAACCCGACGCTGGAGAAGCCGAGAAGAATAAATCCAATTAATTCGAATTGATCGAATGGCATGGCTTGGCCTCGCTGGCGTGGTCACTCTTGAGTGTTGTCACAAAATCTCTTATTCATATTAAATATATTGTTCTATTTCTAGTCTAAGTTTCTTTTCCATCATATATTGATGATTGGTACGATGCGATGGGTTGTTGTAGACGATGATGTGACTTCTACGTAAGATTTTATGGATTAGGCAGATATATCATGACAAATCTATAATTTTCCGATTACGTCTTTTATTAGAGCAATACTAATATCGAATTAGACCATAGTTCTACACACTTACTGTGTAACCAGAAATTATGAGCGAAAAATAACACAGAAATCCGTTCATTCAACAGTTCAAGCAAGTTCATTCACTAATACAACAATGTTAGCACGATGTTAATTAAAAATGTCTAAAGAAAAACAAAAAATAAATGTCTTCATACTTTTGCTGGATATTTTTCCTGACTCAGAACTTCAAAGATGAACTGCAGATCCCACACGACACAAAAACGCACACGATGACCCCAATCAACTAATAATAGTGGCAGAAGGCTGATAAATATTACTTTTATGAGAGACTGTAGACAATCTTGGATTACGCAAGGCGCAGAACGCATGTTACAGGCATATTGCGTATATTTTACACTGCATCCAACAATGTCTGGCTGCAGCAACATTGACGAAGTCTACAGTATTCCTAGTTCCCTGATGTTAACGTACCCACTCAGATTACACAGAACGCAATCAACTAACTACCGAATTGAATACAACAGTTTACTTCAATGTCTTATTCACCGTACAATGGACATTATCCCTGCCGCAATAGCAAAACGTGAGCGCAAAAAATCAGTCAGTTTATAAATGCTCGACACAAAGGTATTGGACACTAAAAAGCCATCCACTCAACCAACATGAATTCAATAGTGTCAATCACTAACAGTACGTTAGCAGATCCCGAAGAACTTAATGATGAAAGTCATTAAAAACTTCATGATATTGACAATTATTACGCTCATTCGCAGGTGAAACTATTCTGTAATCTGGATGTTATTTGTTGTTTCTCAATAAAATGTAGCACAGTACTTAGCTCAGTAACTTACTGTGTCCTAACAATAGTGGGCATTTAGTGGCATTCTGTAATGCGTAGAATAGCTCAACCAACTCAATCGTTAGATACTCTCACCTATTATTATGAGCTACGTAAAATTTCCGATATTTGGCGTCTAGTGAACTTTGAATAATTAAATTTTTTACTGCGAATCCTAGCAGTGAATATGACATGACAACGAGAAGTACCTACTCCTGTAACAAACCTTGTGATAAAATATTTGTTGCGGTTAAGTGCATGGCCAGAACTGTTTTTTGCAACCGGATAATATCCTTCTACGCTCACTACCAACCAAAAGGTGCGATCTGAATTCCAGTTGACTCACTCAAGACCGTCGGTATCAAACATTTCCCAGCTTCCTTAGTTATATTACTAACAGTAATTTAGATGTTCACTTGGACTGAAACCACCATAACATAATACAAACCGACTAATAACATTACCTACATAATCTAAAGCACAGACGAAGAAAACGTTTCGAAGAATGGTGCAATTAATCATAACATCTATCAACAATATCCCAACCTCCAGTAACAACGTTCAGTAGTGAAACCAACTTAAAATCCAGAATAAAATGACAGTATATGGTGAGAAATCAACACGAGATCTGGATCAATTATTAAACTATCAATTACACTCAGAACATGGCGAATCATAACAGTCAACTCACAAACATTTTACCATGCAGAGAAATCTTATCATTACACAACCACACACATCTGATTAGTTACAATGCAGTTCAACATTATGAACTTAAGTTCGAAGTAGAAAACTATATTGAGTCCTGGACCAAATCGAACCAACCAATAAATCGCAGACAGGATATTCTGGATTTATTTACGACTTTGATGAGGAATTAATCATAACCTTCACATTTTGATCAAATTGGATTTCGTCGTAAATCACCCATAGAATTCCGGATGGCTGATAAAAGCCGTCTTATCTCTGCGTTCAAGGAATGAGTTGAAGAGAACGGTGGATCTGGAGATGATGTTAGTTTGGTAGCGCAAAGTCCACGGCAATAAAATTAAGAAAACTCAACATCCCTTGTGATTTTAAGGCTTTATCGTAACGCATATGTCTTTACAAACACTGCACCCTGATCTGTTGTTGTTCGACAGGTTGATCTCAAAGCCGCCAGTAGTCTAGATCTACCGTAGCAACCATACTGAAGGGACCATAAACACCGAGCTTTTATGTGAAACCATATCACCGTAATGCCTAAACTTGTCCCACGATTGGTTAAATTGTAAAACCTCATGCTTGTTTAGAGTCAGTAGACAGGTATATCGACGATTGAGATTTCTATTTAGAGAAAAAGCATGCCATTTGGGAATAGGACATCATCAACCGACTAAATGTATGGCTAGGAACCTTTATTACAAGATATTATCTTTATTAAGGAAGTTCCTATTGTGGAGTGGGTTACTTATATCCACATAAGAAGTATAGAACGGTGATCAGGCACAGAATATATTTCAGTAGATCAAGAATGAAAGAACGGGGAACGGAACGCAATTGGTATGAAAATGCATGAGCAACGAAATGTGAGACAATCGACTAATATTTGCTAAAGGAACAATCAAGTTTGAGACGATGGATTGATATTTTGCGAATTACCTATTTACACTATATGGTTCTCAGATTTTAGTGAGATGCTCAATAATTTTGTGCCCAAATACATTCGATTGTCCCCACTCGTGTTCTTCATCACTACACTACCAATCGACACAAAGAACACGATCGGGCCATCGTTATATTTATATAGATGAGCTTACATCCATAGCTCGGATAGAACTACTGAGAATTGTCAATAGTTAGACTCAGTAGGCTACATTCATGATGATTTTCTCGTAACGATAAAAGTTCGAAAGATGACCATTGGTAAATAAGCCCATTATTTTAAACTTGACACTGTTTTTATCATCAAGTGACTTTTTTCAATGATGAATGAAAAGACTCGAAATCTCAAAACAATAAAGCAATAATAATGATAATAGTCATATACGTTACCTAGACAACCATATATTCATCCGAATAATAATGTAAATAAAACAGTATTTTAGATAATTCATGAAAAGACTAGAAAATTAAAAAAAATTAAAAAAAAATAATAAAAAAATCACAAAATGCTAAATGTAACACAAAATTTTTTTTCGTAATTTTTATCATTTTACCAAAACGTTTAGTGAACAAATTGGATAACATAAAAAGGAAACGGGATTTCATTGATTTATTATTATGATTCGAAAAATTCTCAACAGTCCAATCATCATTGATTCTTACTTCATTATAAATAATAACTAATTCTTGTAAAGGTGTCGATGATATAGTTGGTAATAGTTTTGCTTCAACTGAATTAAATGCAGCAGTTAAAGCATCTGAATCATTATCAGGGACTATGGGAAGTAAGAAAAAATGAATAAAAATTAGTTAGAAGAAAGAAGCGTAAACATACAGACAACTTCACTTACTAGCGATAGTTATAAACATCACTGAGGATAGAACAGTGTAATGGACATGAAACAAATCACCAAATTGATAAAACATTTTCAGAGATGAAAGTAGGAATTACAGTCTGAATGAATAAATAAATGACTAATTGTAAGTCTTTTTTTTCTTCTCTATCCTGACTCACCTTACTCCGATTCTTTTGCGTATTGTTTTATACTACTTATTTAAATTCAGTAAATAGTTTTGTTGCCAGCAATTTCTAAGCTTATGTTGTAACGCAAGTTTGTGTAATATCCCGAAATATTACATATCCTTATAACGTTTATTATATTTATCATTATAATTAATTTATCTCAATCACTGTAGCAGTTATCCACAATTGCGTACATTTGTTTAAACGCAACATTTTCCATATTGTTTTGCTCCTGGTTTCGGTTTCGCTTGTTGATAAACTGTTACCAAGTTTAGACATAACTATTAGCTGTCTTTTGCACTATCGCATGTTGTAATTATTATTTATAATACTGTTACAGGAAGGCTTTTTTATTTCATGCAAAGGACACGTTAAACGCCGCAGACACCTCACAAATCCAGGTTTGTAACTAAATTTTGTATATTATTCAATAAACAACTGCTATTTTAGACAAATTGTTGTTTTATGAACTTCGATTTTGCGCGTATCTCAATTGCGTGTCTTGGACGATTCGACAGACTTAATACTAACTGATTATTCAGCATGAAAATGTAAAACTTACTTTCAGGTAAATCAATTGTTAAACTAACTACTGCTGAAGCCGGTTGAGCAATAGCCTGAAGTATTTGAATCCATGATGGAAAAGGACAATTATTTGAAACAACTACATTTCTTAACATTGGATTATGATCAATTATTAGAGTGGTTATAGATATTCCAGGTGTTCCAAACAAACTAGAAGAGATAAAAAAGTAACAGAATAAAAACACTAGCTGTGATGTGTTTTTTTCTCACTCCTTGAGCAATGGATACAAATGCAGGGTAATGGTAACTTCTTAACAAATAATGCAAAAATGCAAACAAACTCAGTTATTTACCAACTATTATAAATCATCACAATAATGATAAAAATAATTTAATAATATAATTTAGAAATTAAATGCTAATATTCTTGTAATGAGCTTTCAGTAGTGACTAACATCATCATTTGAATGAGGTCTGAGATGTAGTCCGACTGTGTAAACAGAAGCAAAGGTAACAATATTAGACTCTTTGGTGGACCAAATGTTCAATTCAGTAAGATATAACACAAATCAAGTCCTACAATTTCTTTTCTAATAAAAAAAGTGGCCGATATTTGTAGCTGATGGAAATGAATGTCAATAGTGGATTTTCTATTATTGGTACCTCATTTGAAAAACATATCAATGTTAAGAGAGATCATCATTGTCACAGAGAAATATAGTTTTATCAATAATATCTTGATCAATATAAGAAAAATCTGCATACCAAAACAATTGTTTTATTCAGAACAAACCTACCAGCATTCAAATGGATTAACAGAACAGGGAGAAAAAGTAGGTCAATCAATAAATGAGCTTAATTCATTAATCAGTGTAAACAGAATAGAGTCTTGAATAGTCCATCCTTAAGTTTATCAATTCACTTTTCTACTGATCAGTGCTAGAGGATGAACCGAGATGCTAGAAGATTCTAAAGTAAATTCTCTAATATTTTTATCACTAACTTTCTTATTCAGTTTTACTAAGATGTACATCGTTACCTTCGAATTATTGTTCTGATTCAAACGAAGCATTATGATGCAGGAATACTAAAGAACTGAATAATATAATCTCCGCAACCTATACTGATAATTACCATGTGCTCACTAGTGGTTAGCTTCGTGAGTGAATTTTCGGAGTTCTAGTGAGAAACCGTGACCAGTAGAGCTATTCCGTGTCGGGTAGAGACAGGTATCTACCTCAGTACAATTGTAGATGGTCGCGCAATTTCGTGGATTGGTTAAAGTTAGACATTAATACCGTTGAATGCCCGCTCAGTGGTCTAGAGGTCAAGCGTTCACGCGCGAGACTGGAGACCCTGGGTTCAAATCCCGCGAGTGGGATCGTGAATGCGCATTACTGAGGATTCCCACAATAGGACGAAACGGCAGTCCAGTGCTTCTAGGTTTTCAATAGTGGTCTAAAATCAATCAGTTCATGATTTCAGTTAATTAATTTATTCATTAAAAAATTTTGCGTAGAAAATTAGTTAATGTTATGAATTTAAGTTGGGTTGATTTTACCCTGTGCTAATTGTTGTGTCCTTGACTGGAAAATTAGAGAGAAGCGTACTTATCGATCGATTACAGTGACACGTAAACACGTACGGACAGCCTAGAGTCTCTATTGGCCTCGCTTCCCTGTCTAGCCCAGTCAGTTGAGTCCAGAACACAAGTCACATCCTCGGAGATATGAATCATTATACTCCAAACATACTTTGTTTATATACCAATCAAGCATACCACATCGTACCATAAAATAGAAAACAACATTTTGTACAATATTCAACAAGTGAACAGATATCGACCAATAGGAAATGTCCATTTAAAGTCCAAGGACACCATTGGACTTAACATGATAATTATTGGTCTATTACTCCGCATCCACAACAGTTAAATTAATCTAGTAGTCTATTTGTTTTATCTACGCTGTTAATTTCAATTGGTTGGAATTTAGATTAAAAAACGTGAATGAATAGAGGAGACAGATATTCATCCTATTGTGCCTATACACAGAATAACTACAGCTTTACACAACAACAACAACACAAAAACAACAGTCAGCTTAATAAATGTCTATATACATAAACGAAAGATTGGAAACGATATTGTTAATAAACGAACCTTTTCAAACTAGTTAAACAATGATAAGTTAATTGACAATGACCCATGTCCAATATTTGTAAGCGAATATTTCCCTGTTGGATAAATATCAAAAGAAATATGTATTTTCACTGAGTATAGAAAATATTTTGATTAGGCAACGACGAGACTATAATTTATGGACGAGCCAATCAGAAGTGTTTGAAGGATTTCAAGGTCATAGCGACAACTTTAGCACTTGATGCTCACGTGCAATCGGTTCACAGCGGATCTTAGACAAAACGTGATAATTGAGCGGCTACAACAAATGAGTCTATTAAGAAGTTCCTTTATTTGTGATTGTGGTAATCAAATGACTTGTGGACCTTGTGCAGACTACCGTGATATTGTCTTTCAATGTAATATGTGTTGGAGGAAGAAGTCTGTTAGAATAAGATTCTTTCGCTCGATCCAGATTGAGACTAAGGTAGATTATGACAATTGTTGAGAACTGGATAATAAAAGCACCAGTAACACTGGCTGCAGCCGGGTACTACAATATATACGGAAGAATGGAGAGCATACAGATGCCTATATAGACTTGGTTATGTGCATCGTGATGTTATCCACAAGTGGCATTTTGTGGACTCCACAAACGAAGCGCACACAAACGATATCTAGGCTATACGGTCGAGACTGAAAGAGATTTCGCGACCTTATCATGGCTCCAGAGGCCGACTATTATAGAGCCTTATGGATGACTTCTTCTACCGTATGTATTACGATTTTAGAGCCTCTGAACCTCTTTCTAACCTTGACAAATTTTTGAACCATGTAAAAGAAGTGTATTCACTTTAATTCTTTGGTTTTGTACAACATATTTTTACTCTATATTAGCTGTTTTTCGATTGGCCAATGTTTCTCAAGGTCACCTAAAGTCTGTTCAAAGGTCGTCCATAAATTATAGTCTCGCAATGGGCCTAGTTCAAAGACTATATAACTGAATAAAATGTTAAGCCGATGTATTTAAATCCAATCTATTCATTTAAGATGTAATCGTATCCCTCCGTTAGCATGTTAGGCGTCGAAAGGTAGTCAGCAAGAATCTCTGAACATACGTTTCGTGTTACCTGGCACTCATCAGTAAGATAATCTTAAGAGAACTAGTGCTCAATGATAATTCGGTGGTTAGGGCTTTGGACTTTTAGTCACAGTTTCAAACTTGACCCACATCGGTTTTGAGAGACGGGTAGCATCACTAGTCCCAGAATTCAGAGTGACTAATAGAAAAGTACATAAATCCATACCTTGTAAGTGAATTGATAAATAAAAATAAATGTATCTTCCTTAAATTCTCTTCTATTAGAAGACGTATTGAATGAAACAGTAGACGATCTTGATTACCTAAACATTTTACATCAATAGGTCATGAGTGTCGAACGTCTCTAGATGCATAGTGATAATATCAAAAAACAGGCGCATAACTAACTATATAAATACAAAGAAAGCATCACTGAGCCAAAATAACAATGGAAATTCAAATCTACGAAAAGAAAAATGATCAATAAGTGGACAGGATTTCTAGATGCTTTTTAAACAATCCAGCAACGAAATCCGACTTAAGACCTTCTTGTAAAGCTGCTGGATAGCAGGGGCAACCTTGCTAGTTAACTTGGGCGATCGGTGAAGATAGCAATAATCCATCATTCTGGTGTAAATCGGATTAATCTGAGATCTATTCTCAGGACCCTCTCAAAATCTAGCGGACCACCTGATGTGTATGCTTATGGACATGAAGCGTATGAGTCTCGGCTAGTATGGTTTGTGCATATAGGTATATGCAAAGGGTGGGTGCGTGGGCCATCACAAAGGAACGTTAGCTAGAATCTGTCTGCCCCATGATATGAAAGTGAATACTAGGAAGAGATAATCATCAATTTCCACTGAAGGAGCGCTTATGCTTATATGTATGTCACGAAGTGCAAGAGTGAAAATCTTTGTATCAGCAGTACGCATGTAATGCGTAAGAGACAGTCCATGGTAGCAAATACGTTCTACGGGACATGTGATCATCTACCCTATCAAGTGGGTAATTATACTTACATATATGATACTGAATGCATGAGTGAAAACTTGTAAACTCATAGTACATATGCAGACTTATACATGCTCATGGTGCGATCCTGAGTGTCAAGACCTGGGATAACGATTTCCCACAAAATTACACCCATGCGGTGGATTTATGAGTCTTGAGAAATAAAGACTATCTCCAGAAGAACCAATCGACTTTACTAGATAAGGCTTCACCAACATTAATACGGCTAAAAACATCAACACTTTATTGTTCAAATCCAATGAATAGAATAAATAAACAAAGTATTAATTCACAGAAAATAAATATTACTTTAATTAATGCTGAACAAATTGAATTCAATAATTGATCACCAAACGAGGATTCCTTGAAAGTATTAAATTTTTCCAAATTCTTCATAAACACTTCAGATGAATTATTATTTAACCAACTTAAAGATGATACTTCCAGTGTACTAACAGGAAGATTTATTGGGCATTGTTTATTTGTTGAAATGCTTTGAAATGTAGAACATCCTCTTAAACGTAAACATTTTAAAGCTTTTAAACAATTCATAGATAATAAATAATTTAATTGATTAGGAGAGATTTGAGGATTCCAGCTTAAATCCAATTCTGATAAACAGGATACAAATGAATCTGTACACACACATACACAAAGAATATTTCAGAAGAGAAATGAACAAGGATAAGGAAATATTGATCAGTACAGGATATAATTCAAGAATATAAAATCTACAGACATTAATAATGCTGAAGGCAATAGTCAGTCAGTCAGCTACAACGTAGGATCAGGCACATATATGCATCGGTCCAAGTTGCCATACCGCATTAGTACAGCAAGATGAACACCGGATTCATAGGAGTGGTTAAGTCAATGGTGGTAATATATAAGAGAAAGATTGCATATAAGGATATAGTACAGGAAGAAAGATATGAAGTGATTTTAATCTCTTAGTTTAAGGGAAGACAGAGAGTGTATACAATAGTTATATAAATATTAACATTAGATTGGTAGCTGACAGTGGAATCCAAGACCTAACCTATGTCTTATATATTCGTTTAACACACAAGAATACTGGTACAACCAAACACAAATAAATACACACCATACACCCAAGAGAATGAAATTGTGAGCAGATAAAATGAGTAGCATTATAACCGGAAATAAATAAATGAGCCATCTTTGGTGTCTTCGTGACATTAGTCCAGCTGTAAAACGTCGAGTTTACAGTGCGTCAATGAGAACAGTTTTGCTCAATGTCTCTTCAATTTAAGGATTTTTGAACACTTTGTGCTTGATCATTGTTGTCTCCGAAGCATTACAACATTATGTTCCAAATGCCTTGTGTTCCAGTGCAGTGATAAATTAATTGGTCTGATCATCTTGGAAGACGAGTATTACAAACTTGAAAAAATGTTTTACAAATGTCATCCTAGCGATTCGCACAGCATCCATTATTTGTCGACGAAGGAACTTGGTACAAAAAGTGAAGAAGTGGTTATGTTATTACGTGCAGCGTAATATGTAATAGAACTATATAATGACAGGTACATGTAGGTCCATTATGATTTCATAATTCGGGTCCTCAAGACAGAGCAACTTAGTAGATCAAGATAAGGCTACGAATAGAAGCCAATGGCTATAGTAAGTTTTGTTATACATTTCTCATAAAAATTAACTTCACTGGAAATAATCCTATTTAGTGGTATTTTTTAATTAAACTATTTCTCCAATTGTACACTACTCTAATTTGCTTATTTTTACTGATTTATCTGTAATTAATTAAACTCCTTCCTTTAACCGTTCACAATTCCATTTCTCCCTCCCCCCATTTATGTGGTGTATGATTTATTTTGGTGTTCATTAGCATCAATACTTTCTTTATGTAATAAATGAAAAAATTAATCAATCTCTATGGACATAGGGAAAACATACATCCTAGATTTAACTTGTTAACTATAATTTGTCTAAGAAAAGATAGATATTGGCTAGCAATTGAATCCAATTTGACGCGCGTTTCGTCCTATTTGGGACTCGTCAGTTAGATGTACCTGCATCCCAGAGTTGATGTTCACTCTGGGACTTCAGGCTATATAACGAAGCAATCCGCACAGGATGCATATATGCCAACATGAGACTGGTTAATTGCAGTTGTAAATAACAATGGAAAGATACAAGTAAAACAACACCAAGTGAATTTAAACTTAATCCCATTGCACAACCAGGTGGCTATCAGGACTCAGTAACCAAGTCGATAACGCAATGGCGTTTGAAGCGGACAGTACTGAGTTTGAGTCCAAGAGTGAACATCAACTCTGGGATGTAGGTACATCCAGCTGACGAGTCCCGAATAGGATGAAACGTGCGTCAAACTGGATCCCACTGCTAGCTACTATCCACTTTTGCTTAAAAAGCTTGTGAATTAAGGCTATATTGAGGCGATCCGCACAAGATGCATATATGCCAACATGAGACTTATTAATTGCAGTCCTAAACAGCAATGGGAACATACAAGTAAAACAACATCAAGTGAATTTATAATTTGTCTATATTATATATATATATATATATATATATATATATATATATATATATATATATATATATATATATATATATATATATATATATATATAATTAAATGAAATCTACCTGTAGACAAACTATGAAACATTTGTTCATTTTGATAATTTACATTCATTGTATTAGTACCACCAAGTGAACATCCAGTTAGATTCAAATAATTCAATTTAGGGAATACTTTTAAAATAGTTTCAATAAATCTTATCCAACAATTATTATGATTTGTTGACAGGTCATATTCTAATGAATTAGTATTCTCTAAATTATCTTGTTTCATATTACAACCAAGTAATGGATTATATGAAAGATTTAAATAAAGAAGTCGTGGCATAAGTACATCCGAGCTGAAGATTTAAAAAAAAGAATAGAAAAACTGTTTGAAAACAATATAATAAATTACGATTGATCAGTTGTTCTGATTAATGCCTAGACCCCAAATACCCTGGTACAGCTGAGAGTGCGAAGAGTCAGATCTCTCTCTCCAAATGAATTAGCAAGAATATACTCCGTCAGATATTTGTTAACAAAATCCAGTAACTTGAATTTAATTGTAGTTGGTTAAACAACATAAAGTAACACCATTGATCTATTGAAGCTGAGACATAACGTATCGGAATGTGAAACTGATTAACGAGAGTTCGAATACATCAGAAATCATCAATTCACCTACGATTACAAGTATACCTCTCTCTGAAAAATAGTAACTAGCATGAAAATTATATCCAAGATTTCCTGTTAACTACGAATAAAAATAGTGCACACAACATCAAATCAAGTAGAATAATGGCTACATTATAACTTGATTGGTAGAATTTAACCAGAACTAAGAAAACTAAACAAACATGACATTTGATCATTACTCAATAATCAATCAATGTACAATCCAAAACTAACAAAAAAAGGAAAAAAATACCCCTTGTCTTCTTTGAATCTCTTCGATAAAGAGCATAGAAATCGACTGAAAAATTGTTCATTGAATAAATTCATACTTAAATTTAATTTAACCAGATGTAGTGAAAGTTGACATAAATAATCTGTTAAATTAATACAATTCATAGAAGAAAATTGTTTTGTATCTATAATATCCGTAGTTAAAGAGTTACCTGTAAATAGGAAAAGTAACAAAATATCATAAGACAAAAATATAAGCAGTGACATATTGATAAAGGATAATTCTATTGGTAATCTGTATACATTTCTAGCTTATTTATCTTGAAGCATATCTTTTATGTCTAATGTTTTCTATTAACATTACTATTGCTCTATAGTCTAGCTATGCTGACGTCCTGTGATAACTTGACACGATGAACATTATTTACCATATTCTATGTTGCACATAATTGACTGACCGGTTGATTCCCCCTAACTGATAGATTATGATAATCGTTTAAGATACTGTGGTGTGGGTTACTTATATCCACATAAGTAGTATAGAACGATGATCAGGCATAGAATATATTTCAGTAGAAGATCAAAAGGAAAGAACGGGGAACGGAACGGAATTGGTATGAAATTACATGAACAATGAAATCTGAGACAATCGACTGATATTTGCCAAAGGAACAGTCGATGAATTGATATTTTGCAAATTAACTACTTACAATATGGTTCTCAAATTTTAGTGAGATATTCTATAATTTTGTGCTCAAATACATTCGATTGTCCCCACTTGTGTTCTTGTTCACTACAATACTACTGTGATTTTATGAAAAGCTTACTATTTACTGTGAAACTAATTAATGTGGAATTCAGCAAGTGAACATTACCACAATATATGGTATACTTTCCTTGTCATCTATCACTTAAAAGGAGATATAAGTGATTAAGATAGAAGTAATCTTATAAATAAATATAATGTAATACTAAACATAGCTATTACAGTTAAATATATTGAAAATGTTTCCAAATGACCCTGACTGGTATGTAGTTAGATGAAATTGAAGAATGTTTTTTTCATACATTTTACTGAATATTAAAAAGCTAAGTAGATATAAGACTGGGAATTGTTTAATAGTGTTGTATCTAACAAAAGTACCAAATGAATATAGAGCTGTTTAACTAATAATCCCTTAGAAAAATTGTTTATATTACATAGCGTGTAAATTATTTGCGGTTATTTTAATTTTCATAACTTACATCCTGTGTCTATAAGATATGTATGTAGCATGGACCAACATATATATTTATCAAGGCCTAAATCTTTTTTGACTACATCAGATAAAAAGAGAAACATATTATTATCCCCTTCAGTCTTAAATGTATGTAAGAATGTTTCTATGATTTTTGAATGACATGGATCTACATACTTTGAAAACCATAGCAGTTAATGCCAAATAGGGTCATCATTTTATTGCATTGTGATGTGAATCTTGCTAGAAAAGATTAAGCTTACAACGCGTCGTAAAGAGCGATTTCACTTTATGATTATGAGAAATGGTGTCTTTGAGTTGACGATATTCAGCGACTATGTGTCCGATCATCATTGTCAGTCAGGGATTCCCGATAATCAGTGATAACAGATGAGTCTGGAAATAAAAATTTAGGTATAGTGACAATAATCCAATCAGTGTCGCAATTTAGATACACAGAATTAGATGGCTAAGATATATTTTATGGATATTATCCCAGTTGATCCTACATTCCTCAGTAATTACCGACGCTGAGAATAAAAGAAGAAAGTAGTACGTTCACGACATAGAGCCATAGTATGACAGAAAAGACTGGTAACTGTCAATACAAGTTGGCCATTTGGGTGAGATCCTAAAGATTAGGTGATCACTTTATTGCTGTGGCATCATATATGGGTTGAATACAGGAATTAATGGTTGATCTTGTATGGTTTTCTATCAAAGTCTTCATAAAAGTGAGTGAATTCTTAATTGGCTCTATTTTTAACTGAAATGTATCTCATGTCATATGCTATTACTTTCCATACACTTATTTCTTCACAATACAATCGCATCTTTTGTGCGGTGCATATTTTCGATATTATTTACTATTTATTTGAACAAATAAAAATTGGTACAAATGGACACCGAATACATATGCGCCACACAAGTCATTTGAGTTGTTTATGGGTTGTGATACTGCCCCGGTGCCCAGAACAAAACTCAAATGTATCAGGATATGTGTTTAAATAACAATAATAATAATAATAATAATAATAATAATAATAATAATAATAATAATAATAATAATAATAATAATAATAATAATAATAATAATATGATTTATATATGAAAGCAATCATGCACATGTCTAAAATTATGCGGCACACGACATGATAAGAAAATACTAAATGTACTACTACCGTATAAATAAGTAAATTAAAAAAGTTTTTAAGCAATACATGCTAAACGATTTTATGATGCAGAATTGATTTATTTTGATGAAAGTCATCGGATTAATGTTATAGAGTTTATGTTACAAGATGTAGTGAAGATTTCCTTAAGATCAGGTTTAGCTGAAATAGATCAGTAATAAAGTTTCAAAGTGTGAAGCTTTTGTGACGCAAGATTGAATCAAACCAGGGAGTATTAATCCTCATAAGACTACACATACACTAACACGATTGGACTTCTGTTGACTACTTCTAGCCTCCTAAGGGTATCATTAAATAAATAAAACAAACTAGTGTAAACAAATTGTGATAAGTTGAAGATAACACATACACGTACACACTCGAAGTACAGATAACTTGCAGAATTTGGACATTTTTAAAAACACTCGAATTTATCTAAATATCATCTTACTAAAAAGATTCATCTCAAACTGAGTGAAACAATATTCTGATGTTGAGATTTCTATGATGGTAGATATAGATCTACTTGGATAATACATAATGTATCAGTGAAAATGAACCATTTACTAGAGGAAACAGATGTTAATAAGGAATTAATTACTAAAATTTTAATTGAATGATAATGTACCCTGGAGTTTTACTTCTGTAATCACTCGGATACCACCATCACGAACTAGTTGACCTAACAATTTACAACATTCTATATCTTCTAGAGAAAGATTTGATAAATCCACAACTCCAATATTCCGTGCTTTATCAATGACTGAATGGAGGAATGGTGATATAGTATCTTGAGGGAGTTTATTTGACTTTGACTCTAAAGAGGGAAAGAATTAAATAATGAAAGAGTAATACTGAACAGCTTAATGTCATAGAAAAGCAAACAAAACATGGAAAAAAATCTAAACGTTTGATCAGAATATGTTTTGCAGATTGCTAAATTTGATGATGTCCATCACGAAGTGACTTTGTTTAAACAACCATTGAAAACCAAAACAATTGGACAAATGTTTCACTCAAGAATGATACTCCCCAACAATGTACAACCATAACCACATCAAAGAACGAACTCAGGATGTTCATAACTCATGTCGAGTCCTTAACCTCCCGAATCAGTGTTGCCACCCAAAGATTTACGTTCTTTTCTTCATTCAATCCACGATATGACATGACTACCATTCATTGTCAACGGTGATTTTTATCTTCAGCTACGCTCAAAGCCTGGATTAGTAGATGAGCGAAGAAAAACATTTAACGATTTTCAATGATTCTACTCTGGGGTTTCACTGTGTATAGATAAACCGTTCTGCCTCTACAATGTGGCTCTTAACTGTTTGGTGGGTTGGGGAAAAACTCCACGTCATCTAATTGCATCGTAGTCAGTAATTACGATTGTTTTCGTTTAATTAGTCGCTCAATTGTAGATATATTGGAATAATTTCGGCCAGACTAGAACTTATGGAAGAACCAATCACGTATAAGATAACAGGTCATGGATTTTGGCGCGAAATTCATTTATCCATTTGGTCAAATGGCGTTTTGGCATTTTAGCTGATGTCAGTTCGTGATGTAATCCCTAAATCTAATTCCTAACCCTAATCATCACCTGTAAATCATAATTCTAATTACTCGCACTAGTTCATAACGTTCATTTAGTCCTAGTTAGTAGGTGGACATTCTCAAAGTCACTTTAGCGTCTCTCAAAGCTCATCCATAAATTATAGTCTCACCATAATTCCTATTATAGAATTAATTGGAGGTATGATTTCCGGTATGTTGTAATCTTTCTTCCATCAAGACTGACTGTGCTACACTTGAGACGTCCGTAGCGTGATGAAGTGGTATTTTCGTCATAGCGCACTACATTTTTCGGGTAAGCCAGCAACAACGACGAGGGACGAGACATGCCTTTCATCATGGACTACAGTGTAAATAATAGTTCCTGTTTCATTTTTATTGATCTCCAGGTGCATGGTTAAAATCAGGAACGTGAGTGGAGTTTAATCCTTATTCTCCATATGTTAGTAACATTTTTAAAAGTAGGCTGTAACATTACTACCTGGTTTTTCAAAAAAATAGGATTGAGGACAAGTTTGAATTTACAATTCAGTGGTTAAAAACCGAGCCATTTAACAACAAGCTTATAGCTCATCAGTTAAGTAACAACTTTCAGTAGAATGAGTATGAGCAGTACAGCGCATTTAAGCCGTACCAATCAACTAAAATCCGTGAATCGATTTCCTCCAGTACTACTTCAAACACAGAATGTAACGTTACGATTCCACTATATGTAAAGAAAAATACTACAGTCTGATATCACAGTCACCTATCAAAACTTATCTCCGAAATAAATGTACATTAGAGAATAGTATAATGTTCTAAATTAAAAACTAATTTATTGATTAATGACTAAACAAACATCACTTCACTATAAGCTGACAGTCAAATAGAATTTGTCTAGAAGTGTCATATTTCAATTAAAGCAGTAAATAAGCCTAACTACTTGCTTTCTTTTCAAGTTAAGAACAGACTACTATATATCAAACATGACTACTGAAAAAAAAGAATGGAATGGATCATTTACCATAATTTAAGTGTGATTGAATATGTTGATTTGATGGATTAGTTGGAGTTTTTTGAGTAACAACAGACTCGTTTAATTCAGCTAAAAGTTCAACAACTGATCCAGATTGACTTAAAACTGGAATAATTGAAAATAAACGATCTGAAGGAAGTAATAGAGCTCGATCTCTGGTACATAGACGAACTAATTGTTCACCGGATTCTGTGATAGGAATATTAGAATTAAATCCCAAAAGAATTTGACGTCGACGATATGCTTCAGTTGCTAACCATGATACACTGCGCGACCTATTTCATTTGTAAAATAAATATATGTTCTTTTTGTTATAATAGTAGAGTAAAATAATTTTCAAATAAACTAAGATAAATAAGAATACAACATCCCATTCATCTAAACCATTATTATTTAGTATTGAACGATTATTATCAACAATGGTCGACTGAAACGTCACATCATATACAATCAACGCTTTGATGGAATATTCGATTAATTATTAGTAAATTACATATAATCTTAAAACAATAACAGAACATATTTGGCAGAAATAAAGAGATACAAATTAAATCATTGTTGTTATTTCATAGTAGATGTTAGTTAGTGAAAGCCAAACAAGCCTTTAGTATACAAGCAAAATTTTCATCAACAACAAGTATACTTATCCTGACGACACTTCCAAAACACTTAATATGGCTAACACGCTCAACTCTTTATCATCAAAAAAAACTAATCACGGAGACTAATCTGTAATTAATAATCTACATTTGGAGGTGAAAACATTGTTTCCTACATTCATATTGTCACCAAAGATTGAGTATTCTCAAACACTAATACTTTATTTACTAAAACGCATAAACATAGGTACGAGGAGACACCACATGAATGATTCGATTTGTGTGAGGGTTGGGTAACTGCCCGGGCACCTAAACCAAGACAGGTGGTTTTCTTAGGAGACCACTCCGTGAGCCTTTGACCTAAAGGTCTGATCCACAAAGCAATGGAGCAACGTAAGGAGATGCAGTTCCATGTTAGCCAGTGACCAACAATTGGTTCATACGCCATTAGTTCCCTTAGGATCCCGGAGCCCATGTGCACCATTGGTTTGGAATCAGGGTCCTCCGTATCTACCAACCCGGTTAAAGCGATGGACATCCGCTTTTTGTCCTCTCCATTTCGTAATCAATACCCGCGCCACGAGAAGGCAGTGAGAACTCCCCTGACAGTGGTGGTATACGTGTGGTCATGTGAGAGCACTTCGAGAGGCAGAGCGGACTCTGGCCGCCACTCGGTCATCTATATAATTTTAAGTTGATGAAAGGATTGTAGATTAAGAATTATTTATTGAAAGATAAAACAAATCAGTCTAAAAAATGTATATACAATGTTACACTAACAATAAAAGACCGAATTTCACACAAAACTTTAGGATGGAACGTCTATAATTTGACATACTGATACGTTTTTTTTACCGTTGAAAGTTAAAAAACATCTACTGACATATTGTGTGTTTTGTTGAAACAATCCATTTTTATGTAAAATTCTAAATTGTTGAGTTAATCTGCATATTTATAATTTGTAAACTTACATTGAATCAACAGGAACCAATACCGATATATCAGAAAACGCTACTTTAACTGAACAAGATGTTGTTTCTACAGAAAAAAAACAACAGAAAAAGGGACTAAATGTAATAGATGAAAGATTAAACTTATCAGCATTCAAGAAAAGGTGCTAATATATTGTGAAATATAACATTTTCTTTCTACTTGCTCAGGTGAACAACAATATGTATATGTGTTAAAGTTACTCTTTCTGTTTCGTCTATTTCTTACACGTTTTCAACCATTGGATATGATATAATTACGTAAGGCTAGTACTAAAAACCATAAACGAAAGATCTATTGCTCCCCATATACTTGGACAATAACGATACAAAGACAGCATGGATCAAAGATCTGAGGAGAAATGGTATGATTACTCTACAAGTATCGATAATCAACCACTGGGTTTCAGGTTTAATCTAAATTCTGGGTAGAAACCCAAGTTCCTACAATGTTTGGCATACGCTTTATTAGGCACACTGCTAAATTTGTTAGAGTTAACTAGACTTAAGATTTTCATACAAACACCATGAAACAATTGATACGACTGTGCTAACACTCACGTGGAATACTGGTTTGTAGGTTTCTGTGTTTGATCAGAACATTATAACTACTGGATCTAACTTAATGATCATTAGCATATAATAGTTTTGGCAGAATAGAATACCGTACTGAGTCATGTAGTACACACATAACAGAATATCTGACCGAGAATTTAGGCTAAACAGTAGTTTAATTATTAACACAGTTACAAGTAGTCCATGCACAATAAAACCCAGAGTAGAATCACTAAAATCAATGGTAGGTAGGATATTACAATTATTAAATAGTGTCACATATATTTTTAACAAACCTGACTGTCTATCTTTGCTCACCAACCAATTACAGATCAGTGTAGCAACAACAGGTTTGATATTTTTATTCTATAAGGTTACATATCGCAATAGCTAATAGGCTACATGAATACGTCTTTTCCATACAATTCAAAAACTTACACTTAAAATCAGGCACAAATTGAAAAGTCCCTAGAAATTTGTTGTGTTTATTCATCTGAACGATTTAACTATGAAGTCATCATATTTTTGAAACAACTCTAATAGTGTAAATCCTACGAAGTCAGCTCCCAAGAGGATTCCTCTAATAAAAGAATAACATAAAATTAACATCTTGTGCCGATATACGACTGATAGTGAGATCATAATATGATTTATTTAACCAACATCTGTCGCATAAATGGCCGATAATGAAATCTCCATGAAGTAAATCACTCAAAGCTCCGAGAACACATGTTGCAATATCCCCCATCATTAATGTACTACTAAATAATCAGACAAAATTCATAAGACAGAAAAAGAAATTGTAATGAAAGAACTAATAAAACAAGGTTACCGATCGTTCAGAGAGCATTTTTTTACCTGGAAATTCATTCGTAGGGAGTTTGGGTAGTTTTAACTGATCATTATTAACTGTAGCTGGTGGTAGACAGTTATTCGTATTAACTGAACTATCTTTACCAGAATGTGAAGATTCTTTGAAGGAATGATTCAATTGCTTATTACATTTAATCGGCGTAGAAGTAGATTTCGGTGGTAATGCTTATGCGACCCTCCAACAACTGATGATGATGGTCCTGGTGGGAGTGAAGATAAGTTATCATTTTGTGTAGAGGTAAAAGCCATATGTGGTAAAAATTCCAGATCCTCCTGACGGGAACGATTTTTACTAGATGCTGTAGCTGAAAATTATTGTTCAAGAAACACACAACAGTAATAAATTAGAAAATTGCATATAATCTGAACAGGAAGATACTACTTTCAATACAATTTCTTGACATTAATGAATCAGTGGCTCGTTCATCAAGTGCTGGTCAGACCAATATAGGTTGACACGAACTTCTTTATTAAACCTCGCAGGACAGTTGCAATCTATAATTGGAAACCATGGGTAACAAGAGATAAAATAGGTTTCAGTGATGCAGTTACATTTATTCTCTATCGATACTAATAAACATTGAGTTAAATGTCCTGTATTGGACGATGAGAAGTGTGGCTTAGTGGCTTTGGCAATCGAATTTCAACTGCGCTTACAGGTTTAAACAGTACTCCAACTACTTAAAATTTTAGCACTTTAGTCTAACCCACAAGGCAGTGGAGAAACTTCTGATGTATTCTCATGGTAGCCGGTGACCACAAAATTTTCATATATCATTCGCTTGTTCACAATTCTGGAGCTAATGTACACTACTGGTTTGCAAGGTTTAACAACTACCATAAGTGGACACTCGGTATTCACTTTTACTTACTTACTTACTTACTTACTTACTCCCGTTGCTCTTCGTGGAGAAGCATAGGCCACCCACTAGCATTCTCCATCGACGTCCATCCTGGGCAAACGTTTCTGGTTGTTTCCAGTTGCTATTCATCCTTTTGATGCATGCTTCCAATTCACGATGTAGTGTCTCTTTTCCGTTTTCCATCAGGATTCCAAGTAAGCGCCTGCTTCGTGATCGCTATTCATTAACCCGGTTTAAGTGCTCAACATTTGCATTTTGTCTCCTTGCTTCCATAAAATGTACCGCCATCGCGTGAAGGCAGTGAGTAAGACATTTCTAACAGATTATGGACGCGTAACCTTATGACAGCACTTAAAGAGGGAGAGAGGACTCTTCCAACCCTCAGCAGAACCAGAACCTTTGGGAGCAGTAGTATCGCTGACCCTTGAGCAAAACCATTCATTTCAAAATCGAGCGTACAAACTTATACTTAGTTAATGAGTTCGTTTTAACTAATAATTATAATTGTTGAACTGTGACTAAGTAACCGATCTGGGGCTAGCCTGGAAACTTGTAGTTAGTTCCGAATCGGCTTGTCGCAGCTCAAAATTGAGTCGCAACTTACGATGGAAAAGTTGTCAAGTGCTTACAGACTATCAATGGGATTAGAACATTTGATCCCAACAACCATGATGAAACTACCTGCTAAATTCCTCAAACACTAATATGATATTGTAGGAGTAAATTTTTTTAAATATGAACTATATATGAAGACTTATGCTTATTATCATAAAAAATAAATGAATTCAATACTTTAAGTCGATATCCTACCAGTACATTTTCCACGTTTAAAATTCAAAGCATCAAAGTGTTCTTTCACAGTTGTACTGGAAACAGATCGAGACCCTTTTGGTTTTTCGTCTAAAATCAACCAATCACTGTCGTTTGCATCGATTACATGTGATTTCTTTCTACGTTTTGCTAAGTCCATACTGTCTGTATTACCAGATGACTCGCACTTATCCACAAAACTAAGTAAAGGAGGGATAAAAAAACAATGAATACACTTAACACAAATGAAAGTAATTTACAAACAGCCTATTATATTTTATGAGAATAAAATTTCAAACGAAGATGTACTGTGGAGTTTGCTGAAGAAAATGCACAAAAAAAGACACCAATTGGATCAAACATGTTAACTTTGATTTAGTTAGCAGGGTAGTATCACTAGCTCACAAGTAAAATGTAGCTCACAGTCCCGCACAAGAATCTGTACTCAATTAATGAAGAAAATCACACACTCGTAAAGATAACACAATTAGAATCGGAAGTGGATTGACAAGTGCAACACATTTTCCATACCCTATGTGACTAGTCAAATTATACGGCTGGTAAAAAACCAAACTAGATGGAATACGGTTTAAAACTAGAACTCTTAGAAAAGCAGTAGTGTAGAATTCATCGACAAACCTGTTCAGCCCACTAAAAAATTCATAAGAAAAACAATACAATCATCCAATGTCAATTGTTTACCGTGTTTTTGAACTACCAATAGCTTTCATAGCTTGTTTATATGATTCAACTGCATTGACTGATTTCTTCAATTTAACAGGAGATGATGGTTGACTGTTCTCATCTTGGTCCAAATCAACCATTAAATCATCCCAATTTCGGCTACGAAGAGATTTTCTGTTGAATTTTGTTTTAGATGAGATCGGTGGTACTGAATCCCAGGTTTCACATAAAGAAGACGAACGGGAACCAGAGCAAGGATGGCGTGAATACGATTTTTGATTACTAGTATTATTTTTTATTGCTACTGATGACTCGGAATCATCGGAGGAATGGTTTTCAGGAGTTTCTCTTTTAAGATTACACCAACTATCATAATCAGCTGTTTTAAGAGCAAAAAAAGGTTGAAACTAGTCTAATGAAGAAAATAATATGACAAATTAGAAAACAGACATCATTTGGTTATTGTGCAATCCTTATTATTGAACTGAATGTTCTCTAGAATAAACTTTGCAGTATAAACACGCGTTGATAAGCAGGAGATACAGGTGCTGTGAATTAAGAAACCAAGAAAACCTTTTGTATTCACACCAACATTTTAATGTTACGGACACACCAGAGTTAGTGAGATTTTTAGAAAAAGTGAACGGATCAGTATGTACGCGACTACTCATTTCACCATGGACTACCGGCGGTAAACTAGTCCCTGATTGCTTGAAGGACATTCCGCCTACGCCACAGGTGACGCAAGTTGGTAAAAGCCAATCAAGCCTTATGAGTCCGCGCCGAGATTTCGTCGAACACCAACCCACCAGGGCTCATGAAACTTGAAAGACTTCAACATTGAGTGATCGACACACCCAATAAACTAACTCCTTATCACAAGTTTAGACGTCGATACAGACTAGTCCTGAAGCAACATTATGCATTGAAAGATAGATAAACACATCCTAAACGTCCTTACGTTGTTATTCAGGACGATCAGAAGACTTTTGATTTTGTCATTGTCTTCAGCAAATAAAACTTTGTCAAGTGCGTAGTGGATTTAGTCAGTCAGTCAGTCGCAGCGTAGAACTTGATGCGTATATACATCGGTTTAAGTCCCCATACTCCATTAGCACAGTGGGATGAAATTGTCATGCTAAATCCCAGAAGACAGGTAGTGACAGTATGAATCTTGGATTTACTGATGAAAGATAGGTCCCTGAATAGTTAAACGATGAGAGCGTCTTCTCTAAAATTATATCAATGATGAAGAAAGTGGAAAACCTAGATTAACACTACATGAGGTTGACAATTCTGATGGCAGTTCTCCATAAGTTTTAACGCGATCAGTAATGTTTGAGTAGAGCCGGAAGCTGTTTGATACACCTTTCAGTGACAGACACAGTTGCAGAACATCTTGATAAAAGATTCAAATACTGCCTTAACGACAAGGAATACAACCACAGCCGGGCATCGGGATGTTCATGAACCTGACCAGTGGCGAATATATGGTCAATACATCTACGTCCAGATCTGAAATCGGTCTGGTTTTCCCAATTTTGCTGTTCACAACCCATGATTAAGCGTCAGATGAAACTTATATATATATATATATATATATATATATATATATATATATATATATATATATATATATATATATATATGACATACCACCAAGACGACTTCTTATCGCAGCCAAAAGTTCACTGAATTTAGCGCGTTGTTCAGCAAATGTTCCAGACGCATGACGTGTTGGTTCCCATTGGTCTAACAGATTTGATAAATACTCTCCTTGTTTATTCCTAGAGATAAAAAGCAAGCATGTTGAAAGGTAGTAGAATACATACCACTTGCCCAGAAATATGCCTATTCATACACATACATAAATGTAGAATATAAAAGGAAATTCGGGAAATTCATAGCGATAAAACGTTGGATTTGTTTATTTAGTGAATAGTAGTGGTTTAGTACTTAAAGTACTTAACTTTCATGCAGTAATTTACCGGTTTGAACCCCATCCCCCCTTCTGTATAGATAGTCGGATAGAATCTACAGTCCACCCACAATGTAGCTCGAAGTGGAGAACAGAAATCTGTACTTGGTATATGGGTGATAAAACAAGCATTAATTATTTCGAACAATTAGTTTCTCCATTTAGAAAAAGACTGTAAAAGCTGTCAACATTTCTGGGACTTTTTCAACAGAACAAAACTGAAGTAGAGTAAACTCACTTGTGCCATAAATTTGCTCCCCTATTTACGAAAATCAACGCAGTAGTCAATGCTCCATTGTGAATGGCTTCAAAAAGTGGTGTGGAATAATCGTCCGGATAACCTGTATCATCTATTTTCGCACCATGATCAAGTAAATAAGTGGCTATTTCTGACCTATCATGAAATGCTGCTTCATGTATAGGCAGCCAACCTGCACCATCAGGTACATTTACTGGATGACCCTAGAATCCAAAAATAAAATAAAAAGTATGGACGATCATTTAGTCTGGCGTAGAATGACATCATATTTACACAAACTACAGCTATAACAGTAGGAAACACTGAGTCTTTTAAACATACAACGGATCTAGAATACATGGACAAAATAATCACTTTTAAGATAATAGGCCTTGGATTTATGTGCGAAATTCAATATTTGCTGGCGGATAACTTGTATTCAGTTAAGTATGAAGTGAAGTTGCCAGTACTTAGTTACAAAAATTCTGCAAACATAAAATATTGTAAGTAACCAAGCATTACTAGCTATCACAAAATGTGTTTACAACTAGTAAAACGATCTTTAAGCAATTGTAAGAAATAACTCCGCTTTAACTGTTAAATAATCATGCAAATATCATAAAACTTACCAAAACTGACCATATTCTTTCGAGAGTTGTGTCCAACTACCTCCCACATGATATCCTTAATCTTTCGACAAGAGATATGACTCAACACAATGTCGAATATGCATCTGCAAAACGTGATTGTTGTGCATCTATGCATACAATCTTACGTCCGGTTAACTGCATGGTTTTAAAAAAATCCTGTAGGTGTACAATTTTATTTCCAGATTACAACTTAATCAGATTTCACTCTAATATAATGTTACATTCATAAATATATACGAGTAAAACATTAGATCGATTAAGATCATCATCTGCGATCCTACCATAATCACCAGTCAAATAGTGTCACAATAACTTGGTAAATTACAGCATTAAATATGGATTTGTACATAGTTACTGAGTTAATGTATATTAGACATTCAGAAAATAAACCTAGTCCTGTTATGAATTCTACTATGACATATCCACTTACTAATATTAGTAATTTATTAACTTCGTGATGATAAATTTATTTACGTCAAAAACAATAACAACACTTAGATTCACCTGTTGTGGGCTCGACTAGCTTTTGCCAACTTGCGTCACTTATGGAGTAGGCGAGATGTCCGTCTACCAATCAAAGCACGAGTTTACTGTGCGGCAGTTCGTTCCGTCCTACTTTATGGCAGTGAAACATAGACAGTAAAAGTAGAAGATATTCATAGGTTACTAGTATTCGATCACAGGTATCTTCGAAACATTGCTCGCATATCCTGGGACCATCGAGTAAGTAACGCAGTTGTTAGGAAATGGGTACTAGGTAAGGATGGCAAATCAATTGATGAAGTAATGAAACTTCATCAGTTGAGATGGCTGGGACACGTGTTACGTATGCCCAGCCATCGACTGCCCCGACGTGCGATGTTTTATGGTATAGAAGTAGGTTGGAAGAAAGCTAGGGGCGACCAGATCAAAACATGGCACAAATCCATGAAGTCACTGACAAGTGGACTGAGCCATGTCGGTAGGTGTGGACTACCTGATTGGGATCCGCGAGATGATAACGATCGATGGTTAGGGATTTTGAATGACAAGGCTCAAAATCCTTTGCAGTGGCGCAGGTGCATCCACTCTTTGTGTTCTCCCAAATGCTAATCTTCTGAATTCTTCATGTCCTTTTTTTTTTTCTCTTTCCAAATTTATTTCACTGGACTATACTCATTGAATAACATCTTCGAACCCTAATCTTTTCGATTGCTGCTTATACTTTTACTACCTTTACCACTACGGGATTTGAATGGACAATTGTATCTGTATGCTAATGTGGTATGGCAACTCGAACTGATGTAAGTACATACGAAGTTCTACGTTGTTACTGACTGGCTGATGCTAATTAACCCATGCAACTGTCTTCTGTTCGTAGGGTGATTAATCAGAACACAAGGAAATTCATTCGTTCTATATCTATATCTATATGACTGAAAACTCAAATCACAACCTATAAGACCACAATAAGCCATAAATAAATCAAAATTTGTATGTAACTAAGTTGTTCGTGGTACTAAAACTGAACACGTGGTGTGTAATTAATCATGAACGACATTTGACATATCAACAATTAATAAAGTGAAAGCTTATGATTAGGGGAATGTTAAAATACCATAAACTGAATATGTATTATATATAATTTGTGGTCGAATAAACTTCACAATTTCACTTGTTCATCCCTATCTAACAGGTTACACTACGTATAAAGATCAAAAGATAATATTATACAATTATCAGGATATATCTTGTCAAAAGGAAGCAAAAAGACTCCTTTTAAAAAGAAACTAACCAAGACTTCAATTAATTTTACTACATGATTCATATCACCATTGATTGCAGCCACATGTAACGGTGTTTCACCCTTCATATTGGTCTACAAAATGTAAATAAAGAAAAATATCCATTCTGTATACACAAACACACACACACACACACAAAAGAACAAAGTACAAAATCCTTTTAAATGAACTACTCAGGAGAAGTAATAAAACAGTAAATTTAATAGTCAAAACGAATAGTCAGTCAGTTATATCCAATATAGAATATGAGACATTTGAACACCGAAAGAGAAGAAACGGTAGTGGTATCAGTGATTGTAAAGAAGATTAGATATAGACAATATGATTCGAGAAGAATAAATGGATTGATGGAATAAAACACATCAACAAAACTAAACAATCTCTACAACTTCATACCGATGTATATATAAAGATCCAAGTACGGCCATTCAATGAACATCATCTAATCAATATAAAGAACCAGTGCAGTTTAGTCTACGTTTATCTGGGGTGATGACTGCCATTGCTCATGTCCCGGCTAGCGTAGGTTTAGCATCGAATCCAAAAGTGGAACATGCTCTCCTAGACTGGATTCCAAAATATAGTTGCTTGTGTACTATCTGACCAAACGAAACAGCAAGAAATCGAAAAGATGGAGGGGTACATCATTTCCATTTCGTTATTTCTGCCTACACCCCCACAGACTGTAGTTCGGATAAAGTGAAAGACAAATTTTACAGAAATTTTTCCACCCGCCTTCAAAAGCTAAGCGCTTAGATGCAGTAATAGTAGCAAATGGTTTTATTGCCCAAGTAGGTAGTTTAAACCAAACTCAAAGACATTTAGGTAGGTCTTTGTGATTTTTATGGGTGACTTTTTTGTATATTATTCTGTACCTGATTTGAATTCCGAACACAATACCTTCAAGTGCGTTCAATATCTTCCCTCTTTCTGACTTGAATACTGGTCCATCCGTGACTACTAAAGTATAATTGGACAGTTTTGGTAGATACTAGCGGGTCGACTCGACTACCACTACAACTTATTACATTGACGTCTCAATGAAACCTGTGACTGGACTATTAAACATGCATTCAAATGGCGATCTATTTGAGGATCACATGGAAAGACTTTAAATCTAGTGTATGACCAGGAAAGACATTAGGGATGCTAAAATTGTGGCTCATTTCATACATTCATCAGAATGTGATTTCGCAGAACAGCTTCGTGTCCAGTTACGCTATTGAGTAATTGCAGGAATAAACAAACCAGATTTAGGAAAATAGATTATTAAAATGCCAGGATTTTCTGAAGATATTGTGATTTTCAACTATTTAACTCGGTAACCACATATGAAATTCAGTCAGTTCCAAGGAGCCAACAATGTAACATCGACTAATAATTTGTAACCGATTTGTATAGGCTGAAAATATCAAAAACAAAAAATGCATGAAGCGAGACCTAACCACGGTTTTGCTCTATCATCACTCAGTGAACATTTACAGGTCTCGAGTGTTGATTGAATTTATCATTACTTGGATGGCTAATTGATCAATTAATAATTTTCTCGTTTTACGAATGTCAAATAAGTATGATTCGCAGGCGCTGGGGTTAGGGGAAAAAGTGAATGTATTTATCTTACGACATGATCCCGTTGTATGAAAGAAAGACTGGCATATGTCGGTATATCACGACTTCCTGGTTGGGGTCCTACAGATGGTTAAACTCAGTAGCTTGAAATATTATCAGATATGTCAAAGAAGACAAACCAGTTCTTTACATCTTTCATAAAAGCGAGAGGAACACGCTTATCTGAAATAAGACCCTCTGCGTCACATTGTTAACGAACGGTATCTATTTTCGTTTATTTCTCTCTCATTGTACTACTTTTCCGTCCATTATTTTAAGTGCCCGATTGCACCAGAATTTGCATATTAAATACGACTAAAATAAATAAATAAACTTGTTCATAAGTCAAAATACCGAGTACGTTTTTAAAGCATCATACTTTACTGAATAATAATGGTCTTACTTTTAAACAAAGAGCTTTACCGGATTTTTACCCTTCATGGTATCCTGGAATTCATCCATAAGTTCTGCACTTCCTATATACTGTTCAAGTTCTAGACAGAAACGAAAGTGAGGTACGGAATATACAGTGCTATTCAAAACTTTTATGAGATAAAGTAGATTTGGGAAAATGAAAAGTGAATAAATAATGAAAAGTTACACTGAAAGATAAAAGGTAAAACTCTACTATACTGACATCTTGAGTGACTATAAGATTGACCCTGTCAAATCTTATCTAATTATTAGCCAATTAGAATCCAGATAATGTAAATGAAATATGTATTGCAAAAACAGTGAAAAAATGACAATGGATACAAAAAATTTTGAACAATCAATGGATTTGTTCAAGTTTACAATGAGTTCATCGGGATTAAACTTATAGTAAAAACGGTATAAGAAATTATTCATGTAACTGCAAACCATCCAACCTCTAGAGTCTTTATATATGGTTGGAAGTATCTTTTTAATTACAACCACATAAACTGTGTACCTTCGCCACTAGTCATCTTTTTTCCTCAATAGTCAAGTGTTTTGTAAGTGCTCCACGATTACGTCATCTTTGAAACCATTTAAAATACAAAATGTAATCAACATCACAGCAACAAACTATCCGTAACTCCTTTAAGTGATCCATGTAAAATTCTAAAATCCCCCAACTAGTAAATCTCCTAATTGAATAATTGATTCGGTTTTTTAAGCTTTTCTAGTAACCCCCAGGCTAAATCTACACGGCAACGTGAACACGAGAGTAAAAACGCGAAATGTGGGAAAAACGCTTTACTTCAAGGTTAGTTTATGTACAGAAAATATAGGGTATCTATAGCATTTCAGATGGCCATTGGCTTCTGGAAAGTTCTGGGACCCTATTAAACATAGTAGCAGGATAGGTAATCATCCAATCAGAAATGTGACGCATGACTTCTCACTTTCCAGATGTTCCTGAGAAACTTTTATTGAATTCTGATTGGATAAGATAGTTCCCAGTTTCCATGGCCTCTTTGGGCGTTTTGAAGAATTTTCTGGGTCTCCCTAACACTTACCTTGAATGTAATTAGCTGGCTCAAGGCCGTCAGTGTAGTAGTTTGGCCATAAAATGAAAGAATGGAAAGATACCTATAACAACAATAATATCTAACCTGAATCAGAGGAGAGTGTCTCTAAAAATTGTGTAACACCAGTTTCATCATCACTAATCGATGATGTATTCTTATCACTATCTCCTACTTCTTCTTCATCTTTCTGTTCGTTATCTTCTTCTTGATGATCTGATTGAGCATCACATGTCTGTTTAATTTGTTCTAGTTCTTGACGTGTTTTCTGTGACTTATCTCTATAATTATACTGTTCATAATAGTCTAGTAGTTCCTTTAAACAATCAGCCTAGAATATAAATTTTTGTAAAACAAAAAAAAGAAAAAGACAATACAAGATAATCAAAAACATATTTGATATGCACACAAGAGCATTTATATTCCTAAACATATCAGTCAGTCAGTTAGAACCAATGTATAGTCAGGTGCAAGTGTGCGTTGACCCCAGTTTGTTATACCACATCGGCACAACGAAATGAGGATGACAAAATTCATAGGGAAACGAGTCAAAATAATGTAATAAAAATGATGATGAAAACTACCAAGCACTGAGAATACAGATTGAAATGATAGACTATATATATGTAAAGGAATGTTTAAACTCGTTATCTAGTGAGATAAATAGTGAATATAACCGCATCATTGTTATAAATTCTGAGCCATGTCACTCCACGTCTTTAACCACTGACAGAGGTTATTACGCAGACCACAATCAGGTAGTCTATATCCACCTACGTGCCTCAGACCAACCGTTAATGACTTTATGGACTGATGTCAAGTTTTAATGTGGATACCCGTAGCTCTCTCCCAAACCATTTTACACAAATAGACATCGCCTGTCAAGATAGGCGGTGGATAAAGACACATAACACATTTCCTAAACAGATCAATCGACAAAGATCAACATGCAATGTATTAATATTAATTATAGTTTGGATAAAGTTTACTTACAATTAAAGACATAGATCCAGTCAACTTGGAAGCTTTATAAGCAGATAACAATGAGTCTAATGCAGTTGCTGAACCATTCAGAATAATCTTTTGGTCAGCTTCAATATTTTTATCATTAGAAACTGTACAGGAATCGATTATTGAAATTAAACGTTGGGCTTGTGCTAAACTTAACCAACTTGTAGCTATATCCTTTGTGGATAGTCCAGTGGATGTGGCCCATAAAATTTCACGTTTATACATCTCAGCACATTGATCATAACAGCTAAGTGTACGATAAGTTTCAGCCACAGATATTAAAGCAGCATCAACAAGTTCGATAACTTCATTTGGAGCAACTCCTGATTCTGAACAATATTGTTTATAGGCAAGTTCAGAGAATCCTAACTAAAGAAGTGTATAAAATCAAATAGAGAAGCATATGAGTTTATATTTAAATGATCTATTGATAAGTAATCAAATGACAGGTTGCGTATTTGTATAGTTACCCAATGTGAAAGATTACAAGTAAGTTTAACAGTTAAGATTTAATTCATTCGAGAGTGCATGGCCTATAAAACTGATACTGGCCACTTGTTCACGACATTGAACCATCTTACTTTTGTGTTTTTACTGCATAGAAAACGTTATCTTCTGACTAGCGATCTTGTCTTAAGTTTGAAATTACTCGGAGCCCTACGTTAATAATTCCATCGCGTTAGTAACTGCTATTAAGCCAGGTAATATGACTGAATAACATTTATTGGTCAATAGACTTGACTTTTATTTTAAACAATCAAAAACTCGACACGACAAGTCATCAAAACTCTACTCCATAACACAATATTTTTAAGCATGATTTCTTTTAACCATTGAATATTAAACGTACGGTAAATATTCAAATCTGAATTACTGCTTTATAAAATTGATCAAATAAATTAAATCAGCATTAAGTAGGTGAAATTGGATTAAAGATTACTAGTTACTGACAAATTACTGAGGTTTCCTGATCTAACCCTACGCAATCAAATAAAATCAGTACACACTACTGATCTAAACAATTTTGATTTAGGATTTCTGAGGATTAAACATACACTTTGCTGATGAGTTTCAATAAGAGCGGGACTAAGACTCAAAACATATCTTGTCACTTCTCATCGACCACTGAGTATCAAGAGTAACTCAATGGTTAATTTCAGTTTTGTGTAATAAATAATGAACTGAAATTATTTTGATAGAAAATTAACGATATCCTAGATGATTTCGTAAAAACGAGATAGGATAAGCATAGGCAATAAACAAAATTAGCCAGATATTAGTTTCCCCAATAAATTTGTTTTTTTATCAGATTAACAACTTATTGAACACGTAAGCGATTATGTAATCTTTGAGCCACACTGTGAAAGGAGTAGCGATGCTACCTAATTGCTTATATTAAACTATGTGGGACAGCCCGTAACCTAATGATTAAAAGCGAATGTTTAGACAGGAACAATAGTGGGGTAGGGTGAATGCATACAGCATACAACCCAAAATGAACCTAACACATAACAGGATTGTTATATACCGTCCAACCCACTTCCGTCTCAAAGATTTGGAAAACTTAAAAGCCACGAGAAAATCATCAGATTCGGACTGAAATGGACTGTTGTAAGTTATAGCACTTTACTATCTGGAAAGTTCACCAGTTTGTGTCTCATAATTTATTAGATATCATAAATTTGAAGTGGACTGGTAACGTGGTAAGCTCGCAATAAATCTCCAGTTAGTGATAACAGATAAGACAAAATTGTAACGCACTTGTATCATAGATATGTAACCAAAAAATAGACATTTAGTAAAGAGCTGATGTTTTCTTATGATGAGGTCTTATTAATTAATAGCGATGGGTTTTCCGATACTTCTAGAAGTATCTTTTCATGATGTAAGCGATTAGAAAGCTAAAACTATCTACATACCTCCAGTTGCCTACTGCGGTTGGTATAGACCTGACACTAGTACCTGCACTGAGATTCCGTAACTGCGCATATATTTTAAGCAAAATTAAGAAAATTGTTTTTGGAGCACGGGAAATCAACATTAAGTGTATTTCTTATTTATCCGTAAAATATAAGTTTAGTGATATTTCTTTTTAATTATTACCGATATTGCTGATATTTTATACACAGATTTATTTTATTTATTTATTTGAACACATAAATATTGGTACAATGGAGCACCAAATATATATGCGCCACAAAAAACAATGAGAATGGGAAGAGAGAAAAAAGAAGGTAAGGGCCGTAAAAGAAGAAAAAGAACAATAACGACCACAGATTAGTGTAAGGTAGTTTAGTAATAATAATAATTGTAAGGCATGCCGCCATTGCTAATATTAACGAGTTTGACTGTCGTGTAAGCGGAATAGGTCAACTTTGGCCTGTTCGTGCTGTGCATAATTGATTCACGCGATCATTGATCGGAATAACCATACATGTGATGTGAGTGTGTATATGAAGGGTGCGAATGGTCCACCAGGGTGCTTGGTACCTGTGTGGTTGCGCCACAGGATTGAGATGTACTATTCAGATTGTAGCGCTAAAGCCTGTACGGTGTCTGGTTCCTCTGCTAAACGGGGTTGAGCTGTACTGTTTGGGTTTTTGCGTGAAAGTCTGGATGGTGTTGGTTCTCCTGAAAACCAATGTAAAATTACCCTGGCCCACAAGGGTATATTATATAACTGTGGATAATAATAATAATAATAATAATAATGGGGGGAAAAGAAAGGTACAACCAGAAGAAATCTTTCAGTTAGGGAAGATACAACTTTTTGTGAAGAAAGTGAAAGAAGGTTACAGCAGGATCGTCACTGGCTCCTATTCTGAGCCACTGTGTTGCACCATCTCTAGGACCTCAGCGAGGGAGTCGTGAAGGACCAACACAAGCCAGTCCTTTGCAGCTTTCTTTCATACCACACACCATGTCATACACTGACCACATCTCCGCTTTTTCCAGCCAGTCCCAGAGTCGGCAAGTAATGCACGACGTGGAATTCTCTGGGACGACATTCGTAGAACATGTCCAAGCCACCGAAGTCGGTGTTTCAAGATGGTGACACCGATTGTACTATCGTCTCTGCTCCCGAACACACGATGCCGAACCTCAGCATTACTAACATGGTGTGCCACTGGATGTCAGCAATCCTTCGGAGACAACGATGATCGAACACAGAGAGTCCTCTAACATCCTCAACTCGGAGAGGCCAGGTTTCACAAGCATAAACAGAACTGCTCTCACCGACACGTTGTAGATCCGAACTTCTACAGCCAGACTAACATCACGAAGGCGCCAAAGATGACCCAGATTGGCATAAGCCGCTCTGGCTTTCACTATACGTGCATTGATCTCACCACTCACACCCCTACCAGCACTTATGCAGCTACCTAGATACACGAACTTCTCGACTACTTCTATCTGCTCACCATCCAGGGTGAGTACAGGATTAGAATCCTGCCAGTCCTGTAGAAGTACTTTGCACTTCAAAGGTGCAAAGCTCATACCGTACCCACGGACACTGATTGCCAACTGATTAAGTGCGGATTGCATGCCTTGGGCATTATCGCACAGTAAGACAATATCATCCGCATACTCAGGGTCGAGAAGTCTTTCTCCAGGCAACAGATCCACACCGCTATTACTTACATCCATCAGAGCTGTTTCCAGAGTGTCGTCGATGGCAAAGTTGAAGAGGAATGGTGAGATTGGGCAACCCTGCCTAACCACACTGCTTGAATAGAGCAATGGAGAAAGGTAGTTGTATGCCCTCACTCTGCTCGACGTGTTTGTATATAGGGCTTTTAGGATGTTAATAAACTTCTCAGGCACACCCTTCTTCAATAGACAATCCCAGAGAACAGTCCTGTCCAACAAATCGAAGGCAACCCTGATGTCAAGAAACACTACGATTGTTGGTCTGTGATAAGTATGACGGTGTTCTAACATTTGGCGGAGGGTGAAGATATGATCAATACATCCTCGACCAGAACGAAAACCAGCCTGCTCCTCGCGAGTCAATCTTTCTCGGGTTTTGAACAACCTACGAAGTATGACGGAAGCCAATAGCTTGGACGCAATCGGAAGTAGACTTATCCCCCGATAGTTGTTACAGGAACGACGTGAACCCTTTTTAAAGATAGGGACAACTATCGACTCATTCCATGACGTTGGTACACTCTCTGACTCCCAGACCTTTTTAAACAACGCCGTCAGTTCCTTAGTCAGAAAGTCACCACCATCTTTAAAAAGAGCCGGAGGTAATTCATCTGGGCCAGGTGGTTTGTAACGCTTCAAGAGTTGGAGTTCCTTGCGGACTTCCGCCCCACTTGGTGGGTCAGTCGTCACCGGCCATGGAGGGCAGGACAGTCTGACCGATGTTGCCGGAGCAGCAGGCCAGTTGAACTGCCCTTCGAAGAATTCTGCCCATCGTCCAAGACGTCGATGGATGTTAGTGATTGGCATCTCATCATCCTCACAGATTGTTTCGCTCACACCAGACTTGTTGCTGCCAGTGGCTCGGATGAGTTGGAAGAGCTTCCGGTAGTTACCAGATGCAGCTGCTGATACATAAATCTAATACAAGATAATTTAGATTTATACATTTAAACTGAATATATCCCCATGGATGAAGAATAAATATTCTACTGTCAGTGATTTCATCCACAATTTTATTGTGATCAATACAGTTTACAAAAGTACAACCAGTCATATAGTCTTTATAGAGTAGTTCTTTGATAAGTTGCACTGATAAACATTATATTTAGCTTCAAAACGAAATATTTACTGACTGGAAATCTAAAATTTAATACGATACAAGCATAGATTCTTGCTATCAATGATTAAAGGAAAAGTCACCCAAAAAGTGACGTCTATTCGTGCCATACATCTGATATACTATATTTACAATCGTAAAACTGTACCTAGAAGTGAAATCAGCATATACGTCACCGATCTATTATAATTACTAATCAAAATTAAATTATTATTTTCGCTAGTTACAAAAGCAACCCAGTTTTATGTAACAAACAAAACATTTATTTAATATTATTGTTTAAACTTTAGTTGTTTGCGATCTAACGAGCAACCAGAGAGAGTATTTATCTTTCTAAGCACTTAAAATAATAATGCAACTCATGACACATGCTATGCTGCACTCATAAAGAACAGATATGAATCAGGATTAGATTTATTAGAGACAGAATAGTAACATTTTCTCGATCGTATCAATTTTGATTACTGAAACTGAATGGTTTAAATTACAGAACAGTTCCAAGCAAGCTACAAATATATTTTTCATACACATATTCAATTCAAAATAGTTCATATGAAACTAAGATCAAATATGGACTGTAGAGCGTCAAAGTACAAAAGTTTTACCTACTTAGTATCTATGGTTTTATTTTAGCCTACAGCAATGGATACAAACACTTGTAGCCCACTCTGTTACTTCAGAACTATTGTGTCTGTTTATGATATTTTCTTTCGAGGAGTACAGAACATAAAAACCCTCCTAGAGGCAATCTGAGTTACCATACATTTATATCAACCGATACTTGCTAAAATTCAATAGGATAGGAATACAACATCATTCAATACTCATAAGAAACTCTGATTACAAAGTCTACTAAGTAACTCACCATAAACCTATAGTGTCGGACTGCACAACCTTGAAGATCGATTCCGGAATATAAGTCACCCAACTTTTCATGGACACGAGAAGACACAATATAATCTTTTGTATTAGAGACTTCTTTCGGAATTTCATTTAGTAAATTCATCAGTCGGAAACCTTCATATATTGGTAATGTTACAAACGAACTTACTAGTTCTGATCATTTTCCTATATTGTTCTGATGAACTTGGGGAATCAACTTTTAGTAATCGAAATACTTTCATTGCTTTACGACTATTACCGTAGCAAAGGTAGATCTAATAAACTAATCGATTATACAAAAAAATACCAGCAAACCTGAGCAAGTAACTCTTTCAGATTTATATACAATAATTTTGCTTCGTTATCTACACATGGCTTAGATAATGGCGAAGACAAAGTGGTTCTAAATCTTTTTAAGAGATTAGTGTCAAACTCACTGAACAATTTCCAATGCTTTCTTTGTCTCATTTTGATTCATAAGTTTTAAAAATTCAGTGTGACAGCATTCAGTGAAGGCATGTGTTGGGATATTGTTTATCAACATTTCACCAGCTTGATAAGAAGCACGAAAAAGTATTTTTTGTAAACTATACTTTCGCGCTAGTGTAATGCACTGTGAAAAACTTTCGAAAGCAGAGTCATAAAGTCGTTGTGCTCGCTGAACGTGACCTAGGAGGTTAGTTAACAAATATACACCTACCAAGGTTAAGTAAAGATACCGCACGCATTTCAGCAGAATTTTTGTCATCTAAGTTAGGAGACAGTTCCCTAATTAACTTTATGCTATTTAGCAGTGCTTGATTAGCAGACTTGAGACTTTTGGCAATCAAAGAACCATCCTTCAAAGTCTCCACACGATTTAGAAAGCATCGGCCTAGTGTCACATAGGCCCTCTGTTGTTCTGTTTTGTTCCCAATAAGTAAAGACAGCTGGAGATATCGATTAGTGTGAAAGATCGCTTGAGTGAAGTCACACATCTCTATGTAGCACTCTGCTAGATACCTGTTAGCAACTGCACACTGAAGATTGTCTTCTTTGGATTCCCATAGTTCAAGATACTTTTTGTATTCAACTAGCGCAGAATCATGAGAACCTTAATAATAATTGTGGTCTGTATTTGAAAGATTACCTTGTTCAGAATAAATTGCAGCTATGGTTAAAGTCAGTTCCGCCTTTTCTTTGGTTACTTTGGTTTTTGCTCGTTGCTCTATCAACTCTGGAAAGAATATATATAAGAGGGGTATTCGTATGTTACTTCTGACGTTCATTTTTTTACAACAGATGAGATGAGCTAAATTGAAAAACTCGGTTGAGTATTAATTATTGTCTAATCCGACGTGATGTAATCACTGCACAAGATTCGAAAACAACAGCAAATCCGGTGGTAACAACATAAATACCTGTAAAAGAAAAAGTAATTTAGTCGATACTAAAATAAAAATATCTCGTGACTTGATAAATTCAATGAATCAGTCACAACCCAGAACCTGATACGTGTTTACATCGGCTTGAGTTTCTATACCCCAACAGTATAGAGATGTAATTATCAGGTCAAATCCCATAATAGTAGAGGTAGTAACACTATTAGTTGTGATGGGAAAGATTAGGGATCAGAGATACTAGAGAACAAAATATAAATTAGTGGAATATAGACAAAAAAGTTATGAGGAATTTAGAATTTCAGAATTTGAATAACCGACAGTCGGTCATCGACAAAGAACGGAGGTGCCTGCGCTGTTACAAACGCTTTTGAGTCATGTTTTCCAGTCACTAAACATCGGTTATGATAAGTAGTCTAGACCTACTAACATGGCTCAGTTCAATCGTCAGTGACTCCATGGACTGATGTTGTGTTTTGGTTTGGATTTGATACACATGAAAACAGTGGTGAGTCGAAAACTGAAGACGCACAACTCATAAGCGCTGTCGATACACCAAATGTATCTAAAATTTGCACAGGTTGGTAATAAAGTCAACTTGGAACAGCACTAGCGTCAGGAAATGCTTGACTCATTTTACGACGAGCAGCTTCCACAGTTGAACATTTTTGTACTACTACTAAGAGTTGATTACGACCTACAGAACATTAGAGAATAATTTCGTGCCTAATATACCCTTTCCATTTATTTTAACTAGGTAAAAGAAAACTCATATGACCGAATAAGTGCGTTCAAAAGCTGGAAATAAACCGAATCCAAATGGTATAACGTTTTTCCACCGATTTAACGACAATCGGAATCTACTACCAGAAGATATGATGTTTGTGCTTTGAGTGACTTATTCAACCACTTGATAAAAAGTTGAATACTAGGTTTATTCGATAGCGGGTTTGAACCCATTTCCTGTGGCCTTCAGTCCTCAGTAATGAAGATAGTAGGTTGTTTAACCTGTTTTAGTCCTTGCAGCTTGTTTTCGAGTGGAGATAGGTGGGGTATAAAACCCGAAATATATCTTCGTCAACGCATTTGAATGCTCAACCAAATGAATATTTGTTCCGAAACCCATGTTGCTGTATCCGGTTGGTATGCTTCGTGTTGAAATCTCCAAAGATGGGGCAGCAATCAACCTTACTCCATATGAAAGTACAACTTAGAACAAAGTCGTCACTAAGGGAACGTAAACAACGGTAAATTACTCCTATAGTCACTAGCCTATCGAAATTTGGTCGTACAACCAGTTGCCTCACATGTGAAACAGTTGGGCGCCTCTGACGTACTCGATTGTACGCGAAAGTGATCTCTAACGTATAACATTATGCCTCCGTAACGACTTACAACTGTATCAATTCTAAAACAGATGTATCCTGAATAATTGGAGCACAATCTACATCTACGATGAGCCACGTTTCTGTGACAATAAATATATCAGTACTTAATTCTTTCATCGTTAACTTAGCTTGGACGTTTTATCTCTGACTACAAGCATTTGAGGAGCACACACTTAAGGTGTTTCGGGAATTACTCGAAATACCCGAAAACTCTGATCCCCAAGGTTTGTTTTCCCATTTTGCCTTCGAACTTTTAACACAGTAAGAGCGCTTTTTCACTTAATTCGATCAAATGACCAGTCTGGTCGGATACGAATATTCGAGTCACGAACTTTTTATGCCTCATTTAGTATAACTTCCCTTTCTTTGTTACTTCCAGGTAACACCTTAGGATTCTCTTCGGCTGGGTCTTGCTTTCAACGCCTCCACAGTCTTATTATCTTATTAATGTGTATTATCAAAGCCTCTCTTAAGTTTCTGAAAACAAAGTCGGCCAACTATGGATTGTGTGAATGATGTTTGGCAGGCTTATTTTTTAGCTCCCTCATATTCAAGATCAATGGGAAAGGATTTGACTTGTTTGAAAGCCGTGTTTACGACTTTCGTAAACACCTTAGACGAGGGAAGGACGTACTACCGAGAGTTTCCCTTTGATGGTCATTTTTAATGACTTTTGAACCAGCCTGTTTACTTATGTTATACAATTTGTCTTGTAATTTTTACTCCGCACATCGTACAGTCGCGTTTAACTCACCAGCAGTGTTTGGAGTAAGTGCACTTTCGACAGGTGGTAATATTTTATCTTGACAGTTTGTGATTTGTCACGATTACGCGTAACAAGAGTTCCGGCGAAGGCATTCCTCGCTTTGAGACTGTTAACAATGGGAATCCCAACCCTTCTATAAGGGATAAGAGCCAAGCTGACTACTATCGGTTACACTCTTGATTTTCTCCTTGTCTGATGCCAGACGTATTGCGGAGTCATTTTCACTTGACAATTTCCTCATCAGAGTGAAAAGCTCTATAACTTTTCCTAGAAGGATCGCCTTAGGCAACAATCTTTACATAACTTGAGTGAGGTCTGTTTGTAGCAACGTTTATACGCAGTTGATGACATATTGACACATTCTATGAAATCATCTTTTACAGGAAAAAGGCACAATAACCATCAGAGTCGATGATTTTGAACGACTACTTCAACCAGTATGTGAAAACAAGAAAAAGTTCAAGAGAGCTACAAAAAAGTGCGACAATAGTCTCATCTAGCAATGGTTGAAACAAAACCTAGAAAGATTAATGAGCCCAATAATAGGAAAATAGTAAATATGAATACACATGCGTTGGTTGACAAACAAAAGGATTCAATTAGTGTAAACTGATATAGAGAGGTGTGAAGAAAGTAATTTACAATTCTGGATAGTGCCAAAAGCGTTAAAATGAGTTTGAATTTAGCTTTAGACACGATAAAAGCTGCAGAAATCTAGTATCTCAAAACATTGAAAAACATTTCATCTTCAGAACACGATGATTAACGATGAAAGGAGCAAAAAAATAAGAGATGTTTGTACTGAAATTTTTTAATGGTTGGGTCTAATTATTGGGGTATAATAAACAATCCCCAGAACATGTATATAAAAAAACATCTACGTAATTACTGGGATGAGACCTGGAATTCCTAAAGACGCTCGCAAGAAAGACACAATCGCAAACTGAAAAAGACAAACAAAACTCTGGTTCTCTCTTTTAAAACCGTGCTTGTATTAGTAAAATGGATCTTTACCAATATTTTAATTTTATGCATTTTTTAGATGCTTCATTTACTCTAGTGAGCCTAATGAATGCACCGAAATGCGATTCATGTTATTGCAAGAGATCCCTATCAGATCCAGATTTGTGTAGTAAGGACAGAAGGCCCACGGCCTATGTTATTTGTTTTCTGGTATTCTTCTGTGAGTGTCTAGTCTTCTCTTGGTTGAGTCAGTTGAATGTGCGGACACCAGTGCTTCGGGTAACAGGTTCCAAGAATTGATGGATCGGTGTGAAAACCTGTATGCCATAGGTATTTTGTTCGTTCTTGACTTTTCTACTCGCCTGCTATGTCCTCTGGGATGTCACGATCGAATGGGAAGCAAAAGAGAGGACATGTCAGGTCCAAAATCATTTCTTAGTATTCTATACATCAAAATCGGATCACACCCTAATCTGCGATAGGACAGAGCAAAGAGGTCTAGCTTCGCAGGCCGCTCTTTGTATGGTCAACCCTGGAGTTCTAAAATTTCACGGTAGCCGCTCTCCATGTTTTTTTCAAGATATCCGAGTCACCTTCTAAACAGGGGCTTGAATCCTGAACGCAGTTCTCAAGCTTAGTTCTCACTAAAGTTGTATTTAATGTAGTGAACATGATAGTATCTAACTTGGTTAATGTCCGTCTTAAAGCCCATAGTTTTCTCAACCCCTTAGCTAAAACCTCCCGGCAATGGGCCTCGGTCTTAAGATCATGACTCACTGTCACCCCAAGCTCCTTATGAGACCGGACCACGAGTATAGGCACTTCCTCTATGCTGTACCTACTTACTTTTGTATCTCCACAGTTCGTGTAGATACACTTTGCCGCATTTATAGGCATCAACCACTCCTTAGACCAGTTAATCACAATATTTAAGTCTGCCCGAAGTACATATGAATCTGCGTCTCCTGTTAT